TCAGTGCGGGAGGAGGATGGGGTTGTGGGACGAAGGAAGGAAGAGGTGAGGAAAGGTTTCAGGTGGTGCCAACCTCCCTCAGCTTTGTCCCTACACATGCGGTGGTGCCGAGGCTGCAGGCTTGACTCTCTCCCCTCCTCGCAGCATCCGCAAAGAGCCTGACCCCTTCTCGGGAACATCTACTGGCGGGAAGCCCGCCCGCACGTTCTCCCCGGTCGGTGTCCGCGGCAGGCCGCCAGCAGACGAGCCCGCTGGCTCAGCCACCTGGTCTACCCGGCCAAACCCTGCAGAGAGCATCTTCAAGACCCGGATGGTGGAGCGTCTGAAATGTCCTTGATCTCGACCTTGCAGCCACCCGCGTTTGCAGAATGGATTCAGTGGGACCCCACACCTATCTGGTTGGCCGGCCTTGCTCCTCGCCTGCGGGTACTAAGGGTCCTGGGGTCACCTCCAGGAAGGACGGTCTCCTGCTCGGGGGTAGGCAGGAGGGAGGCACACTTTGCAGGGAGCGTAAGTGCAGGTAGGGGTCAGGGGAGGTGGAAAACAAGGGGGCCTTAGGAGGAGAATCTAGGCCTGGGGGCGTGTGGTTCCGTGGCCCTGGCCTGGGTTGGCCTCCAGCCACCTCAAAGCCGGGCTTGTGTGGCCAGGCAGGCCTGAACAGAGCGCTCTCGTTCATCTCAGAGCCGTGTAACTAAAAGCCGTGCAAAACAAGAGGGGCCTGCGGCTCTCGGCCTTGGTCGCATCTAGCCACCAGCCTGCCTTCGGGTCTTCTCTCCAGCTCTGGTTTTTCCCACGGAAGACCACACGTCTGTTTGAGCGAGGCTTGGTGGTCACGTGGCTCCTGAAACAGGCTTTGGGGTACAGATGGGTCAGGGCTGAGTTTGGCAGGTGGGAGTCCGTGTTCTGGATCTGCATATTCTTGACTAGGGATCGTACTCTTGACCCCACGGAGTAAGAACTGTCCCAGAGTCCGATGTCCCTCAGGTTGGAACAGTGGGGTCCAAAACCCGCCTCCATCGGCACCGGAGTCCCCACGGGGGCTGCAGGCCCGCACAGACAGAAGGGCAGCCTTATGGAGGTGCTGGAGTTCCTTGTTTTGGGGGCAGGGGACACAGAACTGAGAAGAAAGCAGCCAAGTGACTTGATGGCATTCTCCTTACCTATGGGTCTCCGTCCCCCCAGCTGTCTGATTTAGGGCCACCCTGATCCAGTGTGACCTCCTCTGAGCACAACTAATGACATCCTCAAAAACCCTGTTTCCATAGAAGATCAGAGTCACAGGCTTCTAGGGTCAAGAACTCTTTTCAGGGGACAGAATTCAACCTGCTGCAGGCACCAGCCCCGTGGGCTTTGCCCGATCTGCTCGGAGAGACCCAGCCATCTGGTACTGCAGAGGGTTCCTATGGTTTGAATAAACTTGGGTCCTTCCACAGGATTAAAATTATTCTAAAGTGGAGAGAGGGGACAAGCTCTCTGCCGGTGTCAGTAGCTGAATTTATAGAGGGTAGGTACGTCTGTGCAGAACAGGGTTTATACACGTAACCACATCACAGCCAGGAAAAGTTTTGCTGTTGGCTCCAGGTCAGCCCAGGCAGGATGGCCCAGCTCCAGGGGGATGTTCTACTGAAGACGGAGGTCCCCGGCCCGCTCTGGCACTCATGCGGACACTCACTGCTCCCCACATAAGCATGCGGCTGGCCCCGTAAGAGCTGGTGGCACTGGGGGGACCGCTCCACGGTGGCCTCAGACTGCAGGCACGGAGGAACAGTCACACGGGATTCCCCCACCCTGCCCGGGTTCATTTCCCTGGGGCAGGGGAGGAGCACTACGTGGCAGCCCGGGGCCTAAAGCTCCCCCTACCCTCCTCCCACCTTCAGAGTCCTGCTTCAAGCCGCCTCCAGCAGGGGAGCAGCCCGCAAACACATGCTCATCAAGGAAGGCATTGGGTTCATGCTCAGAGCAGAGGAGGGGAGAGCCCGAGGAAGGACAGGGCCAGGAGGTCCGGTTCCCAGCCGCGGTGTCTCCTCAGAGCCCAATACACACCCATCCCTCCCTACCCTGCCCCTCAGCTCCATCCCTGCGACGGCCCTTTGGAGGACGTGGAGATTAAGGGTCAGGGAGATTAGACAATTTACCCCATGTCATGCAGCGAGAGACCAGAGCAGCCTGGACTCGACACAGCTCTCCGCCAGCCGGCCACCACATGCCACCTCCTCTGCTGTCCCCTTGTCCCCACGTCCCCACACCAGCGAGTCCCATGACCACCCCAGGGATGGAGTGGAGACAAGCAGAGGCGAGCAGGAGCTCGGAGCAGCCGGGGCCTCCGAACCACGCCGGGTGTGGACGTCTCAAACCTGGGGTATCCGGCCCAGCAGCCACAGGACACATGGCCCGCAGCACTCGAAGCGTGGCTGATCTGATTCACGGCGGGCTGCGGACACACCATCCACAGCGTCCTTGAAACAGGGTTTCAAGACATCCTATGAGCAAAATGACGCCAACCGTCCCATCGGTGAGCCGTGTATAGATCACGTGCTGAAACGATAGTATTGGGGGTGTAATGGGTCAAACGAAACGTTAATGTCACCGTTCCTTGTTCGCTAAGGTGACAGAAAACGGTAAGATGGCTCGTGTGGCTCACGTCGAGGCCATGGACCTGGGCCATCGTCCAGTGTATGGTTGGGGCTCCGGGAGCGGCTGCAACAGGTGGCAGTGCCCGTGGGCTGCTGCTTGGCACGTGCCCTCTTTCACGCCCATGGGCCCTCAGTCTGCCATTTTCAGCACGAGGCTTCCTGGGGCACCGATGAGGCCCCGTCCTGCCAGCACTGAACACCTCATTAGTTTGCCCAGGCTGTTGTTACACAGCAGCATACACTGGGCAGGGATAGGGGGGTGCGAAGGCCAGGATCCTGGGCTCGGTGCAGGAGGTCCTCCCGAGGCTGTGAGGCAGATTCCGACCCTGGCCCCTCTCCCAGCTGCTGTGGCTTACTGGCCACCTTTGCTGTTCCTGCCTCACAGAAGCATCCCCCTGGCTTCTGCCTTCTTGATCACACAGCTTCTCCCCACATGTGTGTCTGGACCAAACCGCTCTTTTTACAAGAGCTGAGCCATATGGACCCATACTGCTCCAACAGCACCATCAGCACCCAGGGCACAGGCCAAGGCCCAGAGGGGCTCGTCTGCCAATGAGGGGCGTCGGTGGGGCCCAGCGGGCATCCTCGGACACCAAATTCCGAAGTCTTTCCGTGCCGTGGTCCATTCCAGTCTTCACTCTTTTCCTAAAATGAAGCTTTAATTCTATAATTAATAATTATAGAATTATGTAATTAATTATAAATTTAGTAAGTTCAAAATTTAGTAAATTTTAAGTTAATTTTAAACTTAACAAATGTATAATTATACATTATATTAACATAAATTTAATATAAATTAATTTTAAGCCATAACTTAATTTTTACCTATATATGAATGCATCATTGAGAAACATAGACCGTTAAAATGAACAGAAGTCGTGTAACGTCAACGTAACTCCTCGTGTCTGTTGGATGTGTATCTTTCCAGGACTTTCCTTAAGCTCAGAGAGACATCGCGGCATCAGTCACACAGTCGCGTCTTCAGGACATCGCTCTGCAACCCTTTCTTTTTCCTCAAAAGCGGCAGCGTGCAGACGCACGGCTCCGCGCGGTTCCCTCACCTGCCCCAAGGCCCTGCGGCCAAGGGGACATTCCGCTGGCTTTCACTTCCCGAAATCGCCGAGGCTGTGCTTAACCATCCTCAGGTCCGCTCACGGCCGCGGCTCTGGGTGCAGACCCCAGAGGGCAGGGCCTGCCAGGGCGCCCGGATCTGCCTGCTCTGCCACCGGGATGGTCTCTGGGTCCAAGAAGGGGCGCGCTTGGCGTGGGGGCCGCGAACCACGGGACGGCTGCTCCACGGGGCTCTGGGGAGAGGCGGCCCAGAGCGCAGGGCTCCAGGACATGCTCATTTGTGCAGAGAGAGGGGCTGCTCGAAGTCAGGAAATCCAGATTCAGGGGTGGGGGTGGGTCAGGGGCCAGAACACGTCCTGCCAGGAACGCCGGGGAACTCCGTGGCGTCTGCCTACACGGCGAGTTCTTTCTCGAAGCCCCAGGGTCCCAACCTTCCTTGGCTGGGACGGCGGGGGTTAGAAGGTGTCCGTACCCGCCGGGCGAGAGAAGCTCACACGCCGAGGCTCGGGGTGCCCGCTGTGACACAGACACGGAATAAAGCACATCGGAGACGCCACAGACCACGTGTTCTCTATTTATTATCACAACGAGTAATTCACAGCGAGGACTGCACGGAAGTGTGGGTCACAGAGCACCGCGTACGCCATGACCCCGTCCACACGCGGCTGGGAGCACACGCCCGCACACTGACACGGACAGGCACGCGCACCGCGGGGACAGGCTGGGCGACTACCAAAGTGGATGGAGGGGGTGGTTTCCAGTACGTTTTACAATAAGCATTTATGGTTTTTACAAAAACACCAAAGCTCTTGCTTTTTTAATTTAAAAAACACCGACAACAAAATTCTTTTTCACGGACACGTTAAGTCACTTGGCACATCTCGGTTTCCTTCCCAACAGCAGCGCAGATGCCGCCACCCAGACTGGAACCCGCCTCAGAGCTGCCCAACCCCGCCGCCCCAGAACCGGGAAGGGGCAGGGGTGTGAAGACCCGGCCCCCAGACCAGGTGGAAATCCCGCTCCCCACCCCCACCCCGGTCAGTCATTCCAGAAGGCTCTCGGCAAACTGTCCTCCAGGAAAAGGTTCATGCCCAGGAACAGAGGGAGACGACTTTCCAGTCACCCCGAATGAAGCGCGCGAGTCCCACCGTGCATCCCAACGCGTGGCTCCCTCCTCCTCCGGGGGTCACCTGCGCAGAGCCCGGGACCGAGGTGTTCGTAGGGCGGCATCTGGCATCACAGCACCCAGAACCTTCCGCGGGACTCCCCAGGCATCAGGTGCCCACCGGCGCCCCCTCAGGCCTTCAGCAGGGCGACCCCGTGCTCCAGAACGGAGTCCTCGCCGCCGCTGTAGGGCTGGGGCCGCGGCTCTGGCAGCAAGCTCTTCTCTGCAGAAAATACAAGGTTCGCAAACTCGAAAGGGGCTGAAGTGAGGAAGGGCCACGTCCTAGGATGGGATGAAGGTGGCGCTTCCGAGTCCTGGGTCACAGGGGTTGGGGCGCCCCCGGCCGCACTCCCAGCCCAGGCAGCTTCCGCCTAAATCCCTGTCAGCGCCTCATCACTGTCCACACCCAGAGGACCCTTCCTTAGGGCCAAGTGGTCCCCTGGCTCGGTCAGGCCACGTCTCCTCCCATCCCCTGTGGGTCAGCGCCTGCACTGCTCCCAGCAACGACACCGCATCAAGCCCCAGAAATCAGACACAGACCAAGTCCTTCAATTCCAGTTAGGCGAGGTTCTAGAACAGGCAGAGCTGACCCGGGGGGAGGGAACCGGAACAGTGGCTGCCCCCAGTGGGGGCCACGAGGACGGACTGATGGCACTTTCCAGAACGGTGGAAATGGTCCGCATCTCATCGGTGCACGCCCGGGCGGACCCACCTGTCAGACCTCGAGCCGCACACGAGGTGTGTGTGTCCGCGGGGTACACGCCACGCGTCATTAAAACACCCCCAAGGTAACTCCCAGAACAGGGGGGGCCTGCCCTCCGCTTCGCGCACCGTGCCCATGCCCCCACGTTCACACCAGGCCGCCCCACCCTCCCAGAGCAGAGTCTCCGTCCTGCGGTCCTGCCCCCCGATCCTGCGGGCAGTAGGCACGCCACGTGGCCGCGGCTCTCTCTCCGGGGACTCTGCCGACACCCACCTGCCTCTTCCAGGGTGGAGAAGTACTGGACACCCTTCAGGTCAGTGGACAGCAGGACACGGAGGACAGGAACCTGCGGGGCAGAGAAACTCTAACTCTAGGAGGGGTGGGGGGCGGGGCCGCTGTTGCCCGCAGGCACGGATGGGCCCGGCCCCCAGGCCCAGCGCCACCACGTGTCACAGCCTCGCCTAGCCTCCTGGCAGACACAACATCACCTCCGGGCAGGAGAACGGAGAGAAGAAACTGGCTTTCGGCCGCGCTGGAAGTGGGAGGTTATTTACATTCTCACTCACATGAAACCATGAAAACCAGCTGTGCAAACCCGACAGAGAAGGTGACACTCAGGAGTAAGCTCTGGAGCCAGGGGGCCCAGCATCCTCGCTGCGGGACCGCGGGCAGGTGGGACATGGGACCTTCTCGGGGCCCCAGCTCAGGGATGGTAACCACACAGCCCTCACGGGCAGGTGTGGGGATGGACAGAAACCCGGCCAGCGTCCCGCTGATGCCGCCCACCTGCAGGCCGACGAAGGCGAGGGTGACGCCGCGCCTGTGGAAGTCCCCCACCAGCTCCTCGAGCCCCAGCACCACGGTGGAGTCGATGCTGCAGACGTGCGTGCACTCCAGGATGGCAGAACGCGGGGGTGACACTGCGGAGATGGGGCCTCTGGTCACATGGGGCGGGGCGGCTGCAGGAGGCCCTGGCCTGGGGCGGGGGCATGGCGAGGCCACAGGGGGCTCTGTCCCCAGCGGGGAGCGGGTGGGTAGGGCTGGCAGGACCCCAGACAACAGCTGTCTGGAGACCACAATGATTCCCCTTAGGCAACAAACAGGTTCCTTTTCTCCCCTAAATCCCAATGCTGGGTCTTTAGGAACCGAGACTGGGAACAGCCCGCCCCGCTGCGTGCAGACGGCAAGCACCCGCTGGACGCTGACCTGAGGTAGCCAGCCTCCTGGACGCAGGAGCGGGGGGCTCGCCCCAGAGCTGAGCCAGGGCTTGGGTCCTGCGGCAGCAGACTGGGGTACAGAGACAGTGGCGGGAGCCGGGCACAAACGCACCCTCCCCACCCCGCCTGCGTACCTTCCAGGGCCTGGGTGATGATTGCCTCCCGGAGGGCCTCCGCCGCGGGGAACTGCAGGCCACTGGCCGGCTGCAGGACCAGCACCGGCCCCTCCGACACCTGGGGACAGGGACAGAGCGAGGGGAGGCACATCCGAGCTGGCAGCTGGGCTAGGGCGGCCCGTCCAGGCAGGAGCCCCCAGCCCACGCCCCTGGGAGTGGGGAGCACAGGGCAGACAAGCTGGTGCGTGAGGGGCTCGGCACCTTCACCCCCCAGGCCGCTGAGGCCACGGACCCCTCTCGCGGGGAGGAAGGGCGGCTCGGCACCTGCATCTTGGGTCTGGCCACAGAGTGCAGCAGGATCAGCACAGACACCAGGCTCCCGGCCAGGATGCCGTACTGGACCTCCCAGAAGCAGAGCAGGAACGTCACACAGAGGGGCAGCAAGTCCAGCCCTGGAAGAGAGCGGGCCGGCCGGCTGAAGCCCCTGGGGGACCCCTGCTGGGGACGCCGGGCCTGACGCCACTCACAGGCCCGGCGGGTGCAGAGGCCCGTCAGCCCCGCCCCTCCCAGCCCGGCGGAGGGGCCAAGACCTGAGGGCCTGGCCCAAGCCGCTGCCTCTGGGAGCCTGTCCACAGCGCACATTTGTCAGGGGCCTGACGACAGGACTTGGGGACGGGGCCAGGCCCAGGACGCTGGGGGCCAGGGAGGCCTTGCGACCTCCCAGAGAGCATGTGGCTGACCCTGGGCAACCAGTGACTTCTGTGAGCCGCAGGACAAGGTATCCTGGTGCAGAAGGCTTGGGGGGCGGTAGTTGGGGGTTCACCCAGGACTTGACCTTGACATGCGTCACTCAGACGAGGCCCCCATCCTCCCAAGGGCCTCGGCGCGGGCAGGAAGCATCAGCTGGTGGCTGCCCACGGAGGCACGGCAGCGCGCGTCTTGGGGCTGTCCCAGGGACGGGGCAGTGGCTCAGGGAAGAACAGGCACGTGTGGGCTGAGAACCACCTAGAACCACCACTTCCCTCACCTGGTGACTCTGGGAGGCCGACAGCAGAGCAGCCCATGAGCCCCATCCCTCCCTCAGAACAGACACTCGTTCCGGGAAAGGCCCTGTAGGCGTGGGGGGTCCCAAGCACTGTGACTGGCCGGGAGCTGGGGACTGCTCTGTCAGGACGGGCTGGTCACCCTGGAAGTCTCCCATCGTCCCCTGTTGGAGCGGGCTTGGGGCTGGGAAAGGGGCGGCAGGAGAGGAGAACAGGAATGCAGGTGGAGAGGAGGAGAGAGAGGAGTGGAGGAGGATGGAGAGGAGTGCGGGAGGCAGAGGACTGGGAGAGGAGGGATGAGGGAGAAGGGGAAGTGGGGAAGGGAGGGTGGAGGAGGATGGGGAGGGGTGCGGGAGGAGCGGACTGGGTGGGGAGGAGAAGAGGTGCAGAGGAGGAGGGAGAGAGGAGGACCGGGAGGAGTGCAGGAGAGGTAGGGAAGGGAGGGGATTTGAGGGAGGGAGGGGTGGAGGTGTGCGGGAGGAGAGGAGCAGCGGGTACCCTGTTAGTTGCGGACTCGCTCAGCACCTCACGGAGCTGGTCTGGGGCTCCTGGTGGCCTGAGGGGCTGAAGGATGCCCTGACCCACGGCCGGCAGCGGGACCACCTCCCAGGACAAAGGACGCCCAGCTCCAGCCCGACCACCTGGGTCGGCGAGGGCAGTGGGGAAAGAACCCAGGACGGGTGTGTGTGTGCGAGGCAGACGAGGGCACACATACTCTTCACACGCCACAGCGTCCCGAAGACCCTGATGTCGAACAGCGGGGCCACGGCCATGATGATGACGGCCGCCAGCGCGGACTTGGGGATGTAGTAGAACAACGAGGTCAGGTAGTCCAGCGACAGCAGCACCAGGACACCTGTGGGGACACGGGGCGCCCGTGACCTCCAGCCCCACCCCCTGCACGCAGTCCAGGCACAAGGGGGGGTGCTCACCTGTCACCAGGCCCCCTGCTGGGGTGCACACCCCCGACTGGGCGTTCACAGCCGTCCTGGAAGGCAACAGAGGCCGTTAGTGGCCGTGGGAGCCTGGAAGAACAGGGAGGCCGGTCTCCCGAGACAGGAGCGCCTGCAAGGGGACGTCGCGGCCTCGCGGACACTGGCGCTGGCCTCGGCGCACTGCTTGTGCAGCAGGAGCAGGTGAGAAGTTTTATGACAAGGGAACAGAGCTTTTATCCCACAAAGTAGCCCCCGGCCCTGCTGTACACACTCCCCACGTAACCTCTGGTAACTCCGACGTGGGCCCTGCCGTGACACCTGTTTGCAGGGGGGACACTGAGAATGCCCTGGGGCCCCTGGGATGCAGGGCTGTGGGGATGTCAGGGGGACCTGGTACTCAGGGTGGGGCCAGCGGTTCCGGGGATCTGGGCCCTGCAGGCTGGGGCGTCCACCGCCTCTCGGCCCCAGGTCACCCTCTGCCTCACGAGGGACCATCAGTGGCACTGAGCATGGACGCTTGTGCGTGACCCTCCCCTGCTTCTGCAGGCAGAGGGCAGTGGTTCCTGCCCCCACTTCCTTTAGGAAGGCACTCCGCCACAACACACGGAGCACGGCCACGGGCTGGGAACATTTTAGGAGTAAACCACAAGGCCATCAAAGAAAACCACGTGAGATCATGAAGGACGGCAGAGTGAGACCCACTCCTGCCTCCCACGGGTGCCGCTGCTCTAGAGATGCGGCCGCTGGCAGGCTGACCTCGGCCCCAGAGGACAACAAAGTGGGATTGAGTTGTGGGCAAGGACTGGGCAGGCTCTTTGAGGTGGACACGGACCCTCTGGCCTGGGCTGGGACCCCCCCCACCCCCGAAGCACAGAGAAGGAAGGACTTTGGACAGTCACTCACCGTCCAAAGCTGCCGGTGACCGGGTAGGAAGAGACGAGGGAGCCCAGCACGTTGGTCAGGCCTGGGAAGAAAGCGGAAGGAAAAGGTTTATCCAGGAGAGAGAAGGGTTTAAAATAGATTGCGGGGGGCGTGGTAGAGAAAAGGAGGCCAAAGACCAGAGAGGAAACAGAAGACAGAAGAACAGAGAAGTCACCCAGGGGTCCTATGTCTGTGTCTGTGTGTCTGTCTCGGGGAAGGGAAAACAAACCATGATCTTTGCCAAATTCACTGACCCTCCCTTTAACGTAACTTTGGCCCTGGCCCTGCCCGGTAAGTGGAACACCTTTCCCCACGTGTAACAGGGAGAGGAACCCCCCTGCCCAGCAGGGGCCAAGCACACTTAAGGCTTCGCAGAGGCTGGCTGCCCACCCGCCGCACCCCACGAGTGCCTCCAGGCCCATACTCTTCTCATGAGATGACCAGCTAGGGCAGAAGATCATGGTTATCAAGGAGTCTGCCCCTGTGACCCACTAGCACGTGGCTCAGCCTGGCACCTTCACAAATACCACGGAGGGGGGGCCGCAGGGGGCAAGCCAGTCCTGGCCAACTGCTCCTTGCCAGCCACCGAGGAGACGCCCGCCAGCACGGGCTCAGAGATGAGCGCCCCCAAAGCTCCTGCGACCCATCCTGGGGCTCCATGCCCTTGGCTGTCGGGAAACCTAGCAGCTCAGCTCCAAACCGCTGGCCTGAGGGAGGTGCCCGGGGCAGGGCGGGGGTTGGGAGGTCGGGGCAGGTTCCCGAGGACTCTGCCAGGAAGGCACCCAGTGCCGCTGCCCGCTCCAAACCGCGCCCCCTCACCAGGAGTAGGAAGGAAAGGCAGAGAGGCCTGGTGTCCACAAAATCCAAACACAGTCGTGATAGCAGAAATGAACAGGCATGTCACACCCTCACAATGAATCACCAGAGAGGATGGATTCACACAAACAAAACCGGGATGCCACGCACAGACTGTCCACGCTGGGGCCTCCCCGAGTCTTCATGGAGGTGCCTGCCGACCTGGAGGGAGGCCCTGGGGCGGGGGCCCTGGGCGATCAAGTCCAACAAGTCCCACCTGGCCACGTTCCTCAGTGATCTGACCCCAGGGGGGACATTCTGAGCGTTCCTTGACAGAACAAGGCTACAGCCCTCGGGGCTGGGCACAGAGCCAGCGCTGGACAAGCTGTGGTCAGCAGGGACACCGCAGGTGACCTGCCTGCTCCCAGCGATCGTTTACGGGTGAATCCACGAGAGCCTTTCAAAGGGCCCAACTCGGGGCCAGCTCTGCTCCATGGACCTCACCACCCCCGGGGACCTGTGCGGCTCAGGCAGACGCGGAGATGCACACTGGGCCTCAGAGAGCCGCCGCGGGGCGCTTACCGATAGCCAGCAGCTCCTGGTTGGAGTCAACGCGGTAACCACCTTGAGAAGCTACGGACAAAGGACCATAAAAACGTCACTAGACACGTCACCACTGAGAAAACATTCATGGAACGAAGCCCTCACGTTCCGGGAAAGGGCAAGGCTGGGAATGCTGTAGGCGTCGCGGGCCACTCTCTGTCCCGACGACTCGGCGCCTGTCGTAGCTGGAGGCCGGCATGGGGACCCGTGAACACGTGAGCAAGACCGTGTTCCAGGGACACCACCTTCTATAAACACGGAGACGCCAATTCATGCGCTTCTCGTACGTCACAAAATCCTAATCCTCTTTGGAAACTCGTTCAAACGTTTAAAAACGTAAAAACCGCCTTTGGGCCGCGGGCTGTGGGTCTCCAGCCCCGGTTTCGGAGAACAAACAGCTTTGACGTTTGGATACGACGTCTGGTGACTTCAGAAGAAAACAGCTTCAAAGCCCCAAGTGGCATAAACGCTATGAGGTGCAGAATCCAGAGGGCCCCGAAGCCCTTCACCCCGGGGAAAATCATCGGAAAAACAGAAACTGCGCAAGGCAGATCTGATCGGCCTGCGCGGCGGGTCGGGGGGCAGGCGCTGGGGCCTAGTGGGGACAAGCCCGAAAATGCGCGTCAGGCACGCGACTCCGGGAGGACGGGAGACTCGAGCCACGGGCACAGGCAGACCCGGTCTACGGAGCTGCAACCACGTACACGCCGTTCACTGGGTTCATCTTCAGAACTGACCCGCAGCCCAGGACCACGGGCGCGTGACCATCATAGCAGCAAAGGAACGTGTCATCCATGTGCACAGCATGAAGCCGGATGACCCGCAGACCCGAGGGAGGGGCCGCGCAGGGATGAGCAGGCTCCGGAGAAATCCGAGGTCTGCAAGTCAGTGGGCATTTAGGCAGATTAACGCGTCCCGGCGTCCTGGGACGCTGCAGGTGGGGACGGGTGGGGGACACGCTGACGCCACAGGAAAGGCGACGGCGAGACACAGGCCCTCCTCCTCCCGGACAGCAAAAGAACTACCATCACACACGTTACCAGCCACTGCCGGATGGCGGCTTTCGTCATAAATGCGCTTCTGCTACACTGTTTAAATACACGAGCACGCGTTCCTTCGATTAAAAACTCAAGCTGTTAAAAACCAAAGCGGGTAAAAGCAAACAAGAGGGCAGGCAAGCAAGGCCAGGACACCACCGGCGGGGCAGGGACGGCGGGCAGCTTACCGAAGGACTTGGCCACCGCAATGCTCTCCAGGAGACCCATGAGGGGCACCACGGCCAGCCCAGCCCCCATGTCCTGAGGGGAGAGAGGGACAGCAGCTGAGCCTCCGGGGAAGATGAGGAGGGGCCGGCCAGGCAGTGACCCGCCAAGGCCGGCACAGGCTTGTCACGTCTGACTGGAAGCCGAGCTTCAGCTGCGGGGCTGGGAGCTCACCCTCCGGGCCGGATGCAAAGCAGAGCACCAACCACATCCCTGCTCTGCCGGGCCCACGGCGCGAGGAGCACGCTGGGCTCAGGCCAGAACACCGAACGTGGCGTCCCTCGAGGTCCTGCCCAGTCGGGACCCTTTCGTGCCTGTCACTGCACCCAGAGGCGCCCCATCCCAAGGACTCGGCGGTCCCAGCTGGGCTTGGAGCTCCTCGTTACAAGGCAGAGGCCTCAGGGGTGCAGACCCAGGCCCAGAGACGACCGCGGCTCCACCCAGCAGGCCTGGCTCCCCATCTCCACCCACCTGCACCATCTCGGTGAAGGAAACTGTCCCGTTGGCTGTGGTCACGGAGAAGGGTGGAATCCGGACGGGAGGGAGCCCCTCGGCAGTCTGCCCCGTTAGAACAAAAGGCTGGTATCCGGTCACCTCAAAGGAGTACGCGACCAGGGCAGCAAAGGAGACCACTAGGGCATTGCGGGCTAGGACAGAAGGAGACCTGCCGGTGAAACCTGGCTCCTCTAGGCAACGGGGCAGTAAATACACGCGAGGAAGCATGACACCCGTCCCCAGCCACCACCAGCCCCGACACTCCAGCCAGGAAATGGCACACACACCAGCGACCGAGGGGCAGGCAGGGACAGGGAATGGCCCGGTAAACGCGAGAGGGTGGGACGGGTCCACGGCGACAAACACAGCTACCTGTGTCATCGATGGGTCACCCCGGGTCCCACCTCTCGGCTCCCGCCCCAGTGGTGCTGGCTGTTTTCCTTTTTATTTTTTTGAAGATTTTATTTATTTGAGAGAGAGTTAGAGCGTGTGCGACGACCGAGCTGGGGGTGGGGGGCGCGGAGGTGGAAGGAGTGAGAGAATCCCAAGGAGACTCCCCACTGAGCGCAGGCCCTGACACGGGGCTTGATCCCACCACCCTGAGAGCAGGACCTGAACCAAAACCAAGAGTTGGAGGCTTTTAACCAACCGAGCCACCCAGGTGCCCCCGTGCTGGCTTCTTAAATGGGGGGGATATACCTCTGCCCAGAATCGGACCCCATTACCCGGCGAGCTCTGAAAAGACTACATCGCAGCCTCATCACTGATGTTGCCGTTGGGACAACAGCTTCAGCACCTTACAACCTTCCAGGATGCAGGAAAGGCCCAGGGCCCTGCGGCCCGTCATGTGATGGGAAACCCAGGCTCAGCCCCACACAGCTCAACCCGACCCACGTGGTCCACGTGTTTTCTCCATCAGGGACCAGCCAGGGCTTCCCGGCCTCGCACTGGGATGTTCTGAACCAGCTCATCCTTCACCAAGGCAGGTCGTGCCCCGCAGGTGTTTGCTGGCCTCCCTGGCCTCTCCCCACCAGGTGCCTTGACAGCCCCATCTGGGAGTCTCAACCAGAAATGCCTCCAGACACGGCCAAAGGTCCCTGGGAGTCGAGATGGGCCGTGCTCGAGCATACTGGACGTCGCTCCCCACCCGGGCTGTGGCTCGGAGCCCGCTGGCAAGCTTCAGTAGCCCAGTGCCCGGGTCACACCCGGCCAGGGACGGCAGAACCTCGCGGGTGCAGCCTCAGTGCACGGGACAGCCGCGGCCAGAACCCCGCTCACCTGTGGTGGCCGTCCAAACCAGCCCGTGGCTGAGCCGCACGCCTGGGGGCATCTCGGGGTGCACAGGGGGCACATGGTCCCGCATCAGCTTCAGCAACAGCAGCAGCAGCACGCACGCCAGCCCCAGCACGGCATCACCCACCCTGCGGACAGACAGTCACACCCTGGCAGCTCCGGGCACACAACTCCACCCTCCCACCGCCCCTTCTGCCAGAAGGCCTTCTCTCCCGACGGCTCTCCTCGCTCTTTCCTAAGCTACGTGCATCCCCGTTCTACTTCCCAGCTTTGTTCAACAGTCAGTGACAGGCAGGCCTGGGAGCCGAGGCCCCGAACGCGGTGGTGATGGGACTAGAGGCTCATGTTAACAGCCACGTAGCCCTGTGGCCGCGCTGCGTCTGTTCCAGAAGGTTCACGTTTCACAGCCCGGCTCTCTGGCCTGTCAGTCTCCGATTCCCCTGCATCCCCTCCCCCGCCGCCCCACAGCTAAGAGGACCTCGTCTGCATGTCCTGGGCCAGGGAGCCCCGGGTTCAGCTGGATTCAGCGCTGGGAAGCCTTGCAGCCGATCAGAAGCGGAGGAGAGAACAGTGGGTCACAGGTGCCCCTGCTCCCTCCCAGCAGCTCCCCTGAGACCACTGCGACCTCGTGCTCCTCCGGCCACCGAGGCATCCTGGCTTCCTGATGGGCCCCTCTCGGAGCATCTCCTGTCTGTCCTTCATCTGAGGAAGGCGCACGAGTGGCGGCCCGGCTCTCATCCCCTCCCCCTGCATGTTCTGTCTGCACCTGCCTCCCCCGCGCCCTGTGCTCTCCTCACTGCACTACAAACCTTCAGAGACACCCTGGCTCTTCCTCTGCACGGGGCCCTTCCCCTCCTACCATCCACGGAGGCTGCGTGCATGGGCCCCGCAGACCGGCTCCTGGCCCCGTCAGAGCTTCTGAACCTCGGGTGTGTGCCCCCACTCCCTGGGGCTCTGTCGAGCCCTGATGGATGCAGCAGGGCTGCCCGGGGCTGACACTGCATTTCTAACCCGCTCCTCGGACGCCTGCCGGTGCTGCTCTGGGAGCCAGTCTGGGCGGCCGGCCGGGCCCCAGGGGGCTGGAATCCATGCCAGCTGGTGGGGGAACAGGGTGGGGCCTGGGAGAGGGGCTCTGGAGGGAAGCGCGGGACCGCACGGCCGGCAGGTACCTGATCTCTCCGACCTTGCGGAATGTCTGATACACTTGCAGGAAAAACTGCCTCGGGACATCATGCAGTCCCAGGAGGTTCTGTCCAAACACAGACGGAGTTAGACAACCTTCCCCTGCAGCATCTCAGCACATCTCAGCCCCCTTCCGGGGCACATCCCAAGGCTCCCCGGGAACCATCTGCCCATCCCCAAAGCCCCCAGGGGAAGGAGATCAGAATTATCCTCCAATGAAAAGGCATTTCACGTTCACAGTCAACGACACTTCTTGGTGAATAATTCTCCCTTGTGAGAAAAATCAGCCTAAGTGATCTCAAAGGGAGAGACCAGTACATCCCTGCCCTGGTCCAGGTTGTCTGCCCCATGGGTCCCACTGCCCTGGTCCAGGGTCCAGGTCACTGTGCCTGCCCCATGGGCCCCACTGCCCTTGACATGCCCCACACCCCCTTGCCACTGGTCTGAGGCCCACCTGCCCGGTACTGCTCCCCTAGAGGGAAAATCAGGTGAAGCTTTGGGCAGAACCACCAGGGGCTCTGAGGGCCTCCAGGCAAGGGGACACAGGCGGGCAGGGTCCTTGGAGGGGAGAAGGGGCTCTCCTCTGTGTTTTAATTCTTTATCCCACTTGACAACGGGTGTGGAGTATTAGCAGGATGGTTGAGGCCCAGACCCCCACAGTGTTAGATTCCAAGATCCCAAAACCCACGCACACAGCCTGAATGGGGACAGACTTCAGGGTGGAAACACTAGATTCTGGGACCCAGGGAGCTCCTGCCAGAGCAGGTCAGGAGAACCCCTGACTCCTGACCCCCACCCTGGCCCAAGGCTCTCAGATGGCTGTTGTAACTTAGTCAAGGTGTTAAAGACTTAGGAGACCTAGCGTTGCCGACCACCCATGCATAAAGAAGCCACCTTCTATACGTTCTAACTGCACAAAAGAACATTCCTGATACCAAAAAGGACACTTTCGGAATAAAAGACAGATCATCCCATTAAGCAGCACTGGCCAGGCTTACCCTAACACACACGCACACGCCACACGCACATGTCCGCTGCACCTAAGGGCTTCCCTCCTCTCTCTGCACAGGTAGTGATGATCCTGCCTCGCAGGGGCGTCAGGACAACCCAAGGCAAGGGAGGGTCTAACCCAGCATCAGGCATCATAGGAGCACAGAGAAGGTCCGCTCCTTTCCTCTGGCCCGCCAGGGAGGCAGTGTGGGGCCAGCCCTGACCACGCGAGGCATGCCCCAGCGAGGAGGAGTGCTGACAGTGGGTCCTGAGACGAGGCAGGCCATCGCCTGCACAATCTGGCTCCACTCCGCTCTGCACAGCCCCCGAGCACTCACCTACTTCTGCACAAAGGATGGGGCTGGCCAGCTGCAAAGCAAAACCAGCCCTGTGCTTTGGGACCTCAACCCCAGGTAAAAAGGAAACAGTCGCTGGTGATAACTAGTTCCGGGATTTCTTATAAATTCTCCTTAAAGATTTTACTTATTTATTCAGAGAGAAAGAGACAGAGAAAAAGGGCGAGTAGGGGGAGGGGCAAAGGGAGATGGAGAGAGAACCCCAAGCAGACTCCGTGCTTAGCATGGAGCCCGATGTGGCTCAATCCCAGGACCCTGAGATCACAAACTGAGCTGAAATCAGGAGTCGGACGCTTCACCGACTGAGCCACCCAGGCGCCCCCCCGTTCGGTATTTCTCAGATGCCACGTCTCCTTACGTTTCTGTTTCTAACACCACCTGTAAGAGGGCACCTGGCTGGTTCAGTCGTGAAGCATCTGACTTCGGCTCAGGTCGTGGTCTCAGGGTCCTGGGATCGAGTCCCGCGTCAAGCTCCGTGCCCGGCAGGGAGTCTGCTTCTCCCTCTCCCTCTGCCCCCCTCCCTCCGTTTGTACTTACTCGCTCTCTCAAATAAATAAAATCTCGAAGGAAAAATACTGAACGGAACGGAGAAAAGAACATTAAGATGAAATCTAGCTAAACGAGCACGAGCACGGGAGGACCAACTTGATCGTCAACATGTCCACAGGACGTGGACGGCCCGAGGCTACGCTGGCGGAGGAGTAGGGAAGGCAGCAGAACAGAATCGCCCTGTGAGGCAAACCAAGCACACTGGCCCCAAAACCCCAACAGGGGCGAGGCTGTCGCTGACGGTCACCCCAATAACCTGTCGTATTGTCCCACAGGCACGCAGCATCTCTCACGAGGGCTGCCGGGATCCGTGGAGACCCAAGGGAGCACCTTGTGGTCTGAGATTTGGAAGAGCAACATGTCAACTGGCCCGCACAGAGGGAAGCCAGCCTCCGTCCCGCAACCCAGAAGGGGCCTGGCTGCCAATCAGCGTGCCTACCTTGATCTGCCCGAAGCCGATGGTGACAGTGGCAGCAGAGGTGAAACCTTTGATGACGGGGTAGGAGATGAAGTCCAGCAGGAAGCCTGGCGGCCGAGAGGGAATACTGAGCTGGTGGCCCCAGCTCTGCCCAGTCCCAGCAGACGTGGGTGGGTGTGGGCTGGGAGAGGAGGTTTGGAGGGAGTGCGGTTGAGGACAGGTGGGGCACACACCCTGTTTGGACTGGTCTGGACGGTGGGGAAGGGAGGCTAGGGTCTGAAGCCCTGGGCACTTCTCCAAGTGTCCTGGCCTCTAAGTAGAGTAGTGGAGGCCTGAGGGAACCTCTCCCTTCACACATGCACCGGACAGGCAAAGAAGGGAAGGCCAAGAGCCAGGGCCTCTCCAGGAGGCAGGTGCCTGGGTAGCCCCTGGCAGGAAGGCCTGAGAGTCTTACCCAAGTGCAAGAAGCCCATGGCTAACTGGATGCAGCCGGACAGAAAGGCGAGCAGCACAGCATAGGCGGGCTCGTGGAAAGTGTAGAAGGAGACCAGAAGGGACATGATGGCCGTCGGGCCCAGCGTCACATCCCGAGAGGTGCCCAAGAAGAAATACACGAAGCATCCCATGAAGGCAGAGTAGAGGCCGTACTGGGGGGAGACAGCACTAAGCATCGAGGTGGCATACAGGGGGCCCCCAGTGTCCCGGGGGGAGATGTCTGAGCACAGGGTCTGTGGGGGCCATCCCGACGGCGGGCACAGCAGCGCACACAGGGCAAAGCGCTCGCCCTCCGTGACCTGCAGCAACTACGGGCCTCTTTTCTACCTGCACCCCACCTGGGTGTCAGCAGGGACACAAGGGCCAGGGTGCTTGCTCAGTCTGTGAGCCTAAGCAAGCGTTCTTGAGACCACAGTGAGTCGTCCTGCCGGCCCCGATGGACAGCCCAGAACCAGCTCAGTTACAATTATGACAAGAGCAGTGACGGGGCGTGCACGTGGCCAAAGGCCATCACATGCTAAAGACTGTACACCGAGATTTCTGGGGCCCCACGGGGCTGGGTCCTGGCGGCCTGCTTGTCTGCAGCGGAGAGGATGCATTCCCACCTGCTTTCGGGCAGCGGCTGCAGTGGGGGTGGGGCAGGGGCAGAGGTCTCACCTGGGGCGGGAGTCCAGCCACCTCCGCGTAGGCCAGCGCCTGGGGCACGACTGTGAGCCCGACTGAGAGGCCCGCGACCAAGTCCATCTTCAGCCACTGCAGCGAGTAATCCGGCAGCCAGGCCAGGAGAGGCAGCCACCTTTGCACGGCCGCTGGGGAGCAGCAGCGGGCCTGGGGGGCCATGCCGGCACCCGTCGGCCGGGCCTGACCCAAGGCCTTCACAGAGGAGGGCATGCCTGGGGGCAACAGGACCAGCGGTCAGGGTCTGGGCTTGTCAGGATGCAGCAACAGAGCGGGGTCTAGGGGCCTGGGAGAGGCACAGGGGTCTCCCGAGGGGTCTGAGCCACAGGGATTAAACACGCCCTTTCGCTGCGCTGAAAGGCACCCACACCTGGGCACGAAGGACCGCAAGAACAGGTGTCATCCCCACCCTGGCGCCTGCTCACTGCTCCCCCTGAATCCCACCTGCCCCAGCCCCGGCTGCCGGCTGTCCACGGACCTTGGCCAGAAAAAGGCGATACATGATTTCTCCGTGAGAAACGCAATGGCTAATTAGACACCGTCTCTCCCCCCGAAATAATTTATCTCTTTCTCCTCCCCACGGATTTAACGGGGAGCAGTGCGAGGAGCGGCAGGTCCACGGGGGCTCCCTCGCCCGGCGGCGTGGGGGCTGCCGCTGCCTCGCGCGCCCCCGGCGTTCCCCGCACAGCAGGGCCGGCTCCACCATCCACGGCGGGCTGCGGCGCGGGCGGTGGGGGTCTCCCAGCCTGAGGCCGCGCCCCACCCCACCCCCCACCTGTGGCTTTCTCGTCCCCGCAGGAGCGCCCCGGGACTGAGCGGGCGCAGGGACAGCGTCCGAGGCCGGGAATTCAGGACGCGCCACAGCCTCTCGGCTCCCGGCCCACAGCCGCTCGCGGAGCCGGTCCCAGACCGCCCCCCACCCCACCCCGGCGCTGGACGCACCCCGCCTCCCACCCACGAAGACGCTTGCCCCGGACCCGCGGTCTTGGGTGGGGACCCCGCGCCGCCTGACCGCTCCGGCAAGGCCGAGGACGGCGGGGACGCGGCGGGGACCTAGCGGGGACCTAGCGGGGACGCGGTGGGTACGCAGTGGGAAAGGGTCCCGCAGGAGGAGCCCATCCCCTCGGGCCCCGCGCCGCCCTGGCGACCCCGGCCCGTCCCCGGAAGCTCGCCCTCTCCGCCCCGGGGCCCGGGCCCCGCTCCCCGCCCGCCGCGGACTCACCCGGCGCCGCGGCTCGGGGTCTCCCGACGCCGCCGCAGCGGGGTCCGCAGGAACCGCAGAGGGAGGGGGAGGGAGGAGAGGGGGCGGAGCCTGGAGAACACGTGATCACCCAGGGAGGGACCTGGCTCGTGCGTGACCACCGGGGGGCGGGGCGGTCGCGCACGTGACCGCGGGCGGGGCGGGGCCAGGGCCGCCGCCATGCACCGCCGAGGGCCGGCCTGCGGGCTGCTGCTGCTGACCCTGGTCCTCTGCCGCTCGCACCGGGCGCGTCCCCGGAACGTGCTGCTGCTCCTCGGTGAGTGCGTCGCCGCCGCCCGTCCGGCGAGCCCTGCGCCCCTTCGCGTCTGCTCCTGCGCTCCCCGCTGACCCGGCCCGTTCGTGGCCGCCTTGGGGAGGGAGGCAGGGGCGGCCTCGCCCACCGCGGGTCCGGCCAACCTCCAGCACCCCCGTCCGGCCTCCGCCCTGACCCCCACCCCACGCTGCCCAGCTCAGCGGGGCCTCTGGCGCGGGAGCATGGGCGGCTCTCCGGAGCTCAGCGGGGTACAGCCCTAGAGGGGCTGCCGGCGAGGGGCGGGCGCCCAAGTCCGCAAGGACGGCTGCGTGCGGGGGCGCCCCGCTCCCCTCCCCTGCCCCGGAGGAGCCCTGCAGGTTTGTTTCTAGACCCGGGAGTGCTGTGGCTCCAATCTTCTGGCTGAAAAGCGCAGCCCCCCCCCGCCCCGCCCTCTCCCCTAACCGCAGCCCTTCCCCCAAATCACAAGTTCCCCCGGCGCCCTGCTGTTCACGAGACTCGGTGCCCAGGGTCCGGCTGTCACAAGACGGCCCTGCTCTTTCCTCTTTTGAGGTCTGGCGTTTTGCCAGACTCATTCTTTCTGATTAACTTTGTGGTCTCCAAGCAGGCCCGTCCGCTGATGGTAGCATAAAACAGTTCTCTCCTACTCCATCGGCTCCTCCTTGCTGGGGACACGGGTGCAGAAACCCGTCCTCCTGTGGCCGCTGCAGAGCCAGGACCACCCAGTCCTGCCCACTTCCTAACAGGGCTGCCTGAGTACCGTGTCCTCTGGGTGTCCCGTCCCCCTGGGCATCAATCCCAAGCAGCTGTCATGCCGCCTTGGGTCATGCCCACCTGGGTATGCCACTTGCATGGGCTTCCCTGGCCCAGGCTGCCACGGCCTCAGTGTCTCTGCCTTCCTCAGCGGACGACGGAGGCTTCGAGAGTGGCGCCTACAACAACAGTGCCATCAGCACCCCGCACCTGGACGCCTTGGCCCGCCGCAGCCTGACCTTCCGCAATGCCTTCACCTCTGTCAGCAGCTGCTCCCCCAGCCGAGCCAGTCTGCTCACCGGCCTGCCCCAGGTGAGGGCCGCAGGGGGGCAGGAGGATGGCATGGGAGAGGGAGCGCCCCTCCCTGACCTCTGCTGGGACATGCCCACGTTCTCTTACCCACCGCCCGAGCTCTGGCTCCCCTGCTCCGTATGACCGTGAGCAGAGCACTATTTGTGCACCTCGATCGTCTCACCCGTTAGATGGGGTCATGATAATACCTTGTTCGTGGGATCGTTACGGGTGGGCCCAGCTCCTACTTCATACATAAGGCACCCAGGAAGGCAGGAAGGTGTCCGACACGCTCTCGCCCAGCGTTAACACATGTTACGGTATCGCTCAGGAGCCCGAGTGCCGGGAAGAGCTGCACTTCCCCCGTGTGTGTTGTGCTAGGACACGCACAGTGCAGAGCTCACCCTTTTACTCCTCCGTGAGCGTCCCCCCTCTATCACGCTGTGGTGTAGCCGTGGTCCATCCGTACGTCTCCAGAACTTCCTCATCTTCCCAGACGGAAGCGGGGTGCCCGTCAACACTGCTCCCCACCCCCTCCCCCAGCCCTGGCGGCCGCTCCTCCCCTGTCCGTGTCTCTGAACTTGGTCACTCCAGTATCTCATGTAAGTGGAGTTCTGCAGTATGTGTCCTTTTGTGACGGCCTTACCGCCCTGAGCGTGGTGCCCTCCGGGTCCCCCCACGCTGTAGCACAGAATGTCCTGCCTTCTCACAGCTGAAAGCGCTGACTGCGTTCTGTCGTATGGGTATGGCCCGTGTTGTGCACCTGTCCATCTGTCCCCGGACACTTAGGTTGTTCCTGCCCGTGACGATGATGAATAGTGTTGCTGTGAATGGGGGGACACAGGCACTTCCTCCGGTCATGTTGTCTCATGACATCGTCTCATGGCAAGCTGCTGTGTCCCGTATGTCCCCATCCGAGTCCAACGCCCACGTGGAGAGGCAAGCTGTGACCAGTGCCCAGCCCCCGCCAGTCCCCTGAAGGCTCCTCAGGCCACCGTGGGCCACAGGAGTGAGGACAGGGCTGCCCCATCTCACCTTAAGTCTTTTTTCAGTCTGACTTTGTGTTGTGTCGGCTATTTTTTTGGCTCTGTAAAAAATCCAGTTAATCGAGGTCTGGTGCTTTTTCTTCCCACTGTGGTGTGCGCTCATGACCAAAGAGTTGGGAAGTACAGGTAGACAGGATGAAAATAAAGGCCCCGCCCCGTTATCATGGGTGCACTTTCCCGCTTTGTGTTTCCTGCCGCTGTCCCATGAAGCGGGTGGGGCTGGGGGAGGCGGTGGACTCTCTGGGGGCTCCAGGGGGGCCTGGGAAGGGGCGGGCTGAGAGAGCAGGAGCGGGCGGCGTGGGCCCAGCCTCAGGGGCGTCCCCCCGCAGCATCAGAACGGGATGTACGGCCTGCACCAGGACGCCCACCACTTCAACTCCTTCGACGAGGTACAGAGCCTGCCGCAGCTGCTCGGCCGAGCCGGCGTTCGCACGGGTGAGCGGCCTCGTGCCACAGTGGGAATGGGCCCCGGCAGGCGAGACCTGGTCCTGAGCTACCCTCCGCCCCATGTCATGTCCTCAGAGCACCCCACGGCCGGGGCCTTCTCACTGGGCCCTGGGTCTGTGCGGACAAGGGCCTGGGCTGACCTCATAGAGGCCACTCCAGGGCACGGGGTTTGGGGGGCGGAAGAGGGCAATGGGATACCTCAGGGACTCTGGCAGGCCTGTGTCCCCACCTCCAGGCATCATTGGGAAGAAGCACATAGGGCCCGAGACGGTGTACCCTTTCGAGTTTGCGTACACGGAGGAGAATGACTCCGTCCTCCAGGTGGGACGGAACATCACCAGAATTAAGCTGCTGGTTCGGAAGTTCCTGCAGACTCGGGATGACAGGTGTGAGGAGGCCCCGTCCCCTCCCTCGAACGGCCAGACCTCTGGGCAGTTAACCTGTGATGCACATCCCAGAGCCTTTAGTTGGGATCCTTGGAGGCCCCAGGTAGAGGAGCGAGGGAGGGGGGAGAAGTTTCCAGAAACTCAAGTTAAAAGGAAAGGAGGCACGGGGAAGTTGAGGCGGACAATCCCAGGGAGACTTCCAGCTCCAGAGGAGTGAGCAGTGCTGCAGGGTGTGCCCTCCTAAAGGTCGGGGCTCTCCAGAGTAGAAAGCCAGGTGGCACATCCGTCGGCTGACCTCGGGACTCAAGCCCCCCTCTCTGGGCAGGCCCTTCTTCCTCTACGTCGCCTTCCATGACCCCCACCGCTGTGGGCACTCCCAGCCCCAGTACGGGGCCTTCTGTGAGAAGTTTGGCAACGGCGAGCGCGGCATGGGGCGGATCCCAGACTGGAACCCGCGGACCTATGACCCACAGGACGTGGTGGTAGGAGAGAGCCCTTTGCAATATTTCCAAGATGCTTGCGTGCCCTTCCTTCTCCGTCTCTTAAATCCAAGGGCTTGGCAGCCCTGGCCCCGGGTGTGTGATTTTGAGCACGTTTAAGAGGAGACTCCATGACTTACTGGATCCGGGTTCCCATCTGCAGAGCCAGGAGAGAGAGGCGTTGGCATGTGGAGTGACGTGTCCAGGAGCAGGGACGTCCTGGGCTCAAGCGTGCATTGGTGGAGGGTGGTCTCAGGCCCTGGGAGGAAGGCTGGCTCCCTGGTGTCCTGCCCCAGTTCAAGGACTGTCCACCCCTCCCCCCAGCCCATCTGCCTGTTTGTAGCCCTGACCTCGCACCCACACGCCCCTCCAGGTGCCTTACTTTGTCCCGGACACTCCCGCAGCTCGAACTGACCTGGCCGCTCAGTACACCACCATCGGCCGCATGGACCAAGGTGGGTTCAAGGAGCCCGGGCAGTGGGGTATGCTGCAGCGTGGGCCCCCGTCCCAGACCAGAGCTCTGAAGTCACAGTGTCAACAGGACTGTGCCCCCCCGCAGGCCCTAGGGGACAGGATAGTCCTTCCTCTTTCCAGCGTCGGGTGGCACCAGGCGTTCCTTGGCTCCTCGCTGCACCCCTCCCATCTCTGCCCGTCTTCACACAGTCTCTCGCGTGTCTCTCAGTGCTGCTGCTTTTTTTTTTTCTAAGATTTTATTTATTTATTTGGCAGAGAGAGAGGTCATAAGTAGGCAGAGGCAGGCAGAGAGAGAAGAGGAAGCAGGCTCCCTGCTGAGCAGAGAGCCCAATGCGGGGCTCGATCCCAAGACCCTTAGCCCATGACCTGAGCCCAAGGCAGAGGCTTTAACCCACTGAGCCACCCAGGTGCCCCGATCTCAGTGCTGCTTCTATAAGGACACTTGTCATGGGATCTAGGGCCCTCCTGGCCACGTCGAGCCGATCTTCTTGAGATCCTTGGTGACAGCATCTGCAAAGACCCCTTCTTCAAACGGGGTCATGTTCACAGGTTCCTGAGGGTTTATCTTTGTGGGGATCACCATTCAGCCCCCACAAGAGGTTGGAACCTTTATAGCATCCCTGTTGGTGCCATGAGCGGATGGTGACCTAGAGAGGGGGCAGGCATAGGAGTCCTGTCTTCCAGCCACCACCAGTACTGCCCTGGTTATCCCCATGGGACAGGCATGAAATTCCAGAAAACAAAACAAAGCCAGCGTCCGGCTGGTAGTGGCTGCACAGGGTGGCGTGGATGTGCTAAGGGACGGCCGGCGTCCCTGGCCTGCTGCAGGACACGGTGCTGGGTGGGACGGCAAGGGTGCAGGGCCCAGCAGCTGCAGGAGGAAATGTGTGAGCGCACGCACATGCCCATTCCCGCATGCCCGGCTGTGGCTGAGCTCTGCTGTCCCCTCTGCTCTCCCAGGGGTTGGACTCGTGCTCCAGGAGCTGCGCACAGCAGGTGTCCTGAATGACACCCTAGTGATCTTCACGTCCGACAACGGGATCCCCTTCCCCAGCGGCAGGACCAACCTGTACTGGCCGGGCACAGCTGAACCCTTGCTGGTGTCATCCCCAGAGCACACGAAACGCTGGGGCCAGGTCAGCGAGGCCTATGTGAGCCTCTTAGGTACGGCTCTGCAGCTCACGCAGGGGCAGGGGAGGGGAGGTGAAAATTCAGGGGCACCACCAAATCCGGACAGTGCTCACACCGCTGCCTTACGTGGTTCCCACACCACCTGGGCAAGGAAGGGACGGCCACCCCATTCTACAGATGCAGTCCGGAGGATCAGAGAGGGCAGGGCAATTGCCCACCATCACACAGCTTGTGAGCACCGAGCTAGGATTCTAGCTTGGGTCTCGGTCTTTGAGGCTGTTGCTCCTCCCACTGGCCCACAGGTGAGCGTCACACTGTCACACTCGCACGCAGAGCTTGTTAACCCCCCGTACGGCAGGCCCCGCCCCCAGAGTGTCAGACACTGTGGATTTGGGGTGGGGCCTGAGAATTCACATTTCTGACAAGTTCCCTGGGTGATACTGATGCTGCAGGCCCCACGCCACCTCCACTTTGAGGGGTCAGGGCAACAGGGCCCACATCTCCCTTTGTCTCCAAAGCACAAATCGGGAGTACTGTGGCCACAGCACAGGGCAGGAATCCATGAGCCCCCCACCCCCCATGGGGGCTTCCTTACTGATCCGGAGGATTCTGGTATGATCCTAAATATCGCCAGGTGGGGGGCCTCTTGTTAAAGGCACTGTGTCCTAGAGGGCCAAGATGACCGTGCCAGGTGTGGGACCTAGTGCAGCTCCTCCCTGTTGGTGATCCCATGTGCGAGGCGACCCACCGGCATTACAGAATGGCTTGGGAGCCAGAGCGGCTTGGGGGCTGGAGGGCCACCATGCTGAGACACAACCTTCTCTCCAGATCTCACGCCCACCGTCTTGGACTGGTTCTCCATCCCTTACCCGAGCTATGCCATCTTTGGATCAAAGCCTGTGCGGCTCACTGGCCGGTCCCTCCTGCCGGCGCTGGACGCAGAGCCGCTCTGGAACACTGTCTTCGGCAGCCAGAGCCACCACGAGGTCACCATGGCCTACCCCATGCGCTCCGTGCACCACCGGACCTTCCGCCTCGTGCACAACCTCAACTTCAAGATGCCCTTTCCCATCGACCAGGACTTCTACGTGTCGCCCACCTTTCAGGACCTCCTGAATCGCACTGTGGCCGGCCGCCCCACGGGCTGGTATAAGGACCTCCACCGTTACTACTACCGGGAGCGCTGGGAGTTGTATGACAGGAGCCAGGACCCCCACGAGACCCGGAACCTGGCTGCCGACCCCCGCTACGCGCAGGTCCTTGAACTGCTGCGGACCCAGCTGGCTAAGTGGCAGTGGGAGACCCATGACCCCTGGGTGTGCGCACCTGACGGGGTTCTGGAGGAGAGGCTCTCCCCCCAGTGCCGTCCCCTCCACAACGAGCTGTGAGCATCCTTGGGGGCACATGGGTGGCTGTCCCAGACCGGGCCCTGATGCTGGTGTCATTCAGCCGCTGCCTGGAGGGGAGAGAGTGTGCCCTGGCCCTTCGTCCCCCCGTGACAGGGGACACTGCTTTCCTTGTGTCTGAGCCGGGTCTCAGCACGGGAATTCCAGGGGATCCAGGAACAGGGCGGGGCCCCCCGTCTGTGACAGGTGAGGATGGTCGTGATCGGGTTGGGACCTGGGGCTTGAGGTCCTCTTCCCTCCTTGGGGCCCCCACATGTTCTTGTATCCTTTGCCTAAGAGGAGACGGGGCATCCGGGTATCGCGTGGGTGGCAGGAAGGTTCAGACTACACTCCGTGTCGGGACACAGTATCTGCCTTTTATCAATCTCTGGTTTTGAAAAAACCTGAGACCAAGCCTGGGGCTTGTTTTGCTTTGCCCCTCGGTCAAGTTCCTGACCTTGGCTGGGTTTCCACGAGGCCACTGATTCCTGGTGGGCTCCCTGCACACCCGGTTTCAGTCTGTGGTCTAAGCCAAGCTTGTCCTTCTTTTTGGATGTCCGAGGCTGAAGAGCCTGTCCTCTGGCTCGGGCCGGCTCTGTCCGGTTGGACATGGGGCTGTGGCACGAATGTTGCTCATTGATGCTCCAGCCCTGCCCGGCGTCCCCCTGCTGTCCCTGGACGCAGAAACTCTCCCTGGAGAGCCTAGAGCTCGGGGTCTTTTTCCCTTGAGTGGGTGGGCTTCTGCCCTCCCCTCCCCCACAAGTCCACCCTGGGGGCATGGACGGAGAGCCACAGTGCCCGGTGCTGCAAAGCTTTGTATTTCAGTAAAACACGCACAAGGTCATTTTCTGGCTTATTTACGGTCCTGCCTGCCTCAATCCCAGAGCAGCTTCTGGGGCACTCGGGTTCAGGGGCGCCGCTGCCAAAATGGTGGTCAGTCTGCTACAGTGGGGGGCAAGGCCAGGGGCCGGGGGGCCCAGGAGTGCTTGGCCCGGCCATGTCCACGTGTCTCCTGAGCTCTGGAGGTGGAGTAAATGCTCTTTACTGTCCGGTAGAGGGGGGCAGAGGTGGGGCTCGGGGCAGCCCGGCCCGTGTGCGAGGGTGTCTGTGGGTGGCTTCTCCAGGACACCCCCGTGGGCGCACCGGGTCTGGTGGCCACCAGGCAGAACCCCACTGAAAACACTGTTTCCGTGACTGGGAAACCGTATCTCCCAGTTGGTACACACGACTCTCCAAACTCGAGCCCCTGAAGCAGGTCTCTGGCCACTGAGGCAGTCAGTGAGATTACCTCACCAGGGGTCTGTACCTCCGCTCTGGGTGGGGGTGCCAGTGACTTCAGGGGCACCAGGGCTACCAGCCTCCTGCCTCAGGGGCTGGGAACGAGCCCTTCAGCACCCTGAAATGCAAAAGGGGAGATCGGGGTCAGGCAGGTGGTTTTCTGGAAACGTCTACAGGAGATGTGTTCTCGGGGCCTCTGGGTCGGACACGGCAACTGAGCCTTGGAGGAGGAGACAGCTTGGCAGAAAAGTGGGCAGATGGTTCGGATGCCTGTCTGTGACCTGCACAGAATGGGGTTCAAGGTTGGGCCCCAGTGAGAGAGGGGACCAGATGCCCAGAGAGCTGGGCTCGGGCGAGCATGCCTGAGGCTATGTCTACAAGGCTGAGCTCAAATCGCAGGGACTCAGAGGTCCCCGCGGCCCCTGGAAGGGCTCCGGTGCCGTCAGCGGGGGCTCTGCTCCGTCCACACGACCTTCTTCTGCTCGTCCCCGATGGCGGAGCGGACGCAGCCGAGCAGCGTCTCCAGGTCATTCCAGCCGTCGGGGGCCAGGCTGCCGTACAGACAGGGCGCTCTGTCCAGCGCGGCCTCCTCCTGCCTGCCCGCCTCCAGGAGCTGCTCCTCCGACGTGCCGAGCCGCTGCAAGGCCTTCCTGCACAGGCCGGACACGGGACACGCTCAGGGAGAGCCGCGCACTGGCTGCCCGGAGTGGACCCAGCTCGGAATTCCAGGGGACCGGCGTGCGGACCCCCCCCTCCTGGGGGCCAAGTGCCCCACAGAGGAGACATGAGTCGGGCCTCAGGTGACTTGCAGTGATGGGGGGCGGGGTCTAGTTTACATGCTCAGCCGACAAATCGTAAGGGGGTGACAGGACGTTGTAAACCGAGTACTGGTTTCCAGCCCCGTCCTCGCCTCATGTGGCCGGGCTGTCAGCTGCGTGTAGCCCACTAGACACGTGCCCTGAGTCAAGGCAGGGTCCAGGTCTCGCCTCACCGTCCCCCAGGCTGTCCCCGGAGGGGAGAGCAGCAGATCCTTTGTCCCAGAAGATGTGGGGGAACCACCTTGTCATGCTTCCAGGAGTTCCTGGAGCCCCCCACCCCCACGTGGCGCCAGGTGCAGACCCCAGGCCAGCCCCCGGGGCCACACCTACTTGAATTTCTTTGCTGCTCTCTCGTTGATGGGGATGTGGATGATGATGGGGAAGATCTCCATCCCGTGCAGGGCACAGATGCTGTCCAGCCGGACGTCCAAGAGGGCGTGGGTGTTCTGAGGGGGACAGTGGGGAGATGGGCCAAGGTCCTTGGCCTCAGCAGCCGCGAAGGGAACCCACACCCAAGAGGGGTGGTGGGGAGAGAACCCAGGGATGCTTTGTGGTGTCCAAGGGCGCTTGCTCTACCAAGAGTCTGTCCCTTTGGTTTGTCATCTGTGAGCCGTTGGGGTGGAGGGAGACTGAGAGGGGCCGGAACCCCCAGGGTCAGAAGGCTCCATCAGCCTCTGCCGGGGTAAAGGTTGGGAAGGGGGCGTCTGCCTCTGGCGCCCAGCTGGGCCTGGCCCTCTTAGGTCCCAGAAAGCTGCACAGTTCACGGTGAGCTCTTTTTCATGTTCATGTGGGCCTCAAATCACGGACTGTTCCCTCATCTTACTCGTTACCTGACAAATACTATTCAGCATTTCCTGTTTTGAGGAACCAGGCCTGGGGACATTAAGAGGCTGGCCCCAAGTACCCTGGATCTGAAAGGGCAGGGTCAGGGCTGGACCTTTCTGCACCCCTCCCTCTGAACACCAAGCCAGAGATAAGCTGAGCACCAGCACCGGGTGTCCCTGGCCAGCAGGTTGGTGACCAGCGTCCCCCAGATCTCAAGGCCAGTCCTTCCTGTCCTATCCCAGCACGGTCCTCTGGGGATGGAGGCCCCTCGCTCCCAGAGCAGCCCCCGCCCTGCCCCTTACCTTTTCCATGAGGGACTCGACAGCCCGGCGGGTCACGCAGTAGCGGCCACCGGATGCCTCCCTCTCCTGGATGATGTCCCCTCTCTGACTCGAGGCATCGTATTCCTCCTGGCTCAAGTACTCTGAAGGGGACAGTGGACAGGGACATCACACTCTGTGAGGTGAGGTGAGGGAGCCCCAAGCTAAACGTGCTCACCCCCACGGGCCCCGCCAGCTCCGGGCGACGCGCCTCCCGGAATGGGCCTTCACACTCAGAGGGGTCTGTGCCCTGCACGGCCCCAGACACCAGCGGACATGGCAGGGGCTCAGTCGGCGCCAGGGTGTGGGGGGACGGAGGGAGGAAGGAGGGGAGCAGCGACGCAGATGAAAAGTCCTCCCCGTCACCCCAGTCCAGCGTGCTCCCGGGGTGCACTCGTATCCAGCTTCTCACACCTAGCAATGAGCCCGTACGTCAGTGCTTCCTAGCAGTGGGCAGCTGTGCCCCCGGGGGCCGCTTGACAACATCTGGGGACATTTGTGGCTGTCACCACTTGGGGGGCATGCTGCTGTGTCTACTAGGGGGAGGCCAAGTGTGCTGCCCCGTGTCCTGCAACGCCCAGGACGGCCCCCCACAGAGGGGAAGGCAGCCCCATGCGACTGTCAGGGCCAAGGCTGAGAATAAACAGTCAAAACATGGGGTGCCTGGGTGGCTCAGTGGGTTAAAGCCTCTGCCTTCGGCTCAGGTCATGGTCCCAGGGTCCTGGGATTGAGCCCCGCGTCAGGCTCTCTGCTCCGCAGGGAGCCTGCTTCCACCCCTCTCTCTCTGCCTATTTGTGATCTCTCCTTCTGTCAAATAAATAAATTTTTTTAAAAACATAAAAATAAAAATAAACAGTCAAAACACAGCCGGCTTTTGCCTTTCTTCCTGGATATCCTCTGTTCTGAGCACGCGTTCTCCTGGGTCAGACCGGCGCCCGCCGTCATGGGGACTCCCGCCCACGACAGCTCCTCTCTGAGCCCCTTCCTCCCGTCGTGCCGCACCCGCAGCAGCCCAGGCCCGGGGGCCACAGCCCACCGCACTGTTGCCTGGTCTGCGGCCTCACCAGCTCCTGCCTGCCCATCAGAGCCGAGCTCTGCCCCGCCTTCTCCAAAGCACCTGTCTCCCTCCCCGGGCCACTTGTGGAGCCAACAACCAGCAGCCCATCTCGTCTCCAGGCGGCTGCACCTCTCCAGCTCCCTGTAGGGAACCTGGCACATGCTAGACAAGCCGGACTCACTCAGCCCATTACCCTCTGTGAACCCCAGTGGGGTCTGGACAGAGCCCCACTCCGCCTCCGCTGGTAACCCAAGGCCTACCGTCGCCATCGGCTGGCCAGTGCCAAACTAATGAACAAAAACTCCCACAAAGCGGCTCTCCCGCTCGTCAACCTCGGAACCGCCTCTCCTGCGTGCAGACACTCAGACCCTGTCCCCTGGCATGTAGGAGTCCAGATGGCCAGTTCCTCTCTGCGACTCTCCACCAAGGAGCTCTGGGGCTGAGCGGGTGAGGAGCCCTTTGGGGGTCCACCCCGGTTGAGTGCAAGCCCCATCTGCCGGCAGGATCTGCCCCGGATTGAATAGCATCCCCCCAAGATACATGACCATCCAGAACCTTGGAATGGGACGTATTTGGAAATAGGGTCATTGCAAATGTGGTGAGTGAAGATGTGGTCATCGGGAGTAAGACGGACCCTGATTCCATGACGGGTTCCTTATAAGAAGACGGTGTAAAGACACAGAGACATGGGAGGAGGCCAGGTGACGTGGAGGCAGAGACGGAAGCGATGCGGGTACAAGCCAAGGACCCCCAGACTGTCGGCACCACCGGAAGCCAGAAGAGGACAGGAGCGCCTCCCCCTGAGAGCCTCGGGGCGGAGGGGCGGGAGGGCAGCACAGACACGCCTGGATCTCAGCCTTCTGGGCTCCGTCACCACTCAAGACTAGATCTCTGCTGTTCCAAGTGGCCCAGACCACGGTTCTTTGTTGGGGCAGCCCCAGGACACTTGCACAGGAACCTCCACGCTGTTCTCCCGAGAAGGCAAGCATTGTACCAAGGCCTCGCCAGGCCACCCAATGGGCAGGTGGGGCTCCCAGGTGACACCGTACCTGCTGGGCATTTCTTAAACCCTTGGAGGAGGCACAGCTTCTCGCTGAGGATCTTCCCGACAACCCTGGGCACCAAGATCACTGGCCGGGGCTGGCTGGGCCTGTGGGGGTGCACCAGGGTGTAGGGCACCAGGGTGAAGCAACTCTCGGCCCAGAAGCACGCAGTGGAGGGCTCTGTGGGGGAGAGGAGGCATGAGTGGGCCGGGCGCCGGACCATGCTGTCTGCCAGCCCCTCAGGCCGCAGGCCGGACTGTGTGTTTGGGGCAGTAACAGAAGCTCGGCTCCCCACCAGGGACATGTGCATCCCACACCCCGTGGCTGACCGTGGAGGTCTCTTCGGGCTCAGCTCCCTGGGCCCACAGCGGGGAGAGAGAGAAGCAGTTCTCCGCCTTCCCAGCACACTGCGAGATCCCCAGCCACGGGGCCCTCGCCCTCACTGGCCCCGCAGGCCCACGCCTTCCCTCGCTCTGGCTCCCTGCTCTTCTAGGGTTTACTTCTCTTTTCATCAGTCATATGCACCCAAAACACTTGCCAAAAAGAGGAAAATTAACTCAAAGTAATTCACCTTACTCTCAGTCCACTCCCGCTGTCTTCACTACAGGGTTTGACCCGATGGGGCGCGTGCCACGCTGACCTCTGTCGTGACCTCACACCCACACCCACACCCATCACACCGAGGCCATCCAGGGCCCCCTTGGCCTGCACCACTGGCCTCACCTTCCAGCTTGCTGGGCTCCCACAGGGCCCCATTGAAGGATGAGCACAGAGGGCTGGCCTTGGTTCTGTCCACACTGATGATGCGGACCAGCTTCTGGGGTCCCCCGGAAGACTGCTGGAGGAGGGAAGAGGGACAAGCAGGTGTCCGAACCATCCGCATCCTGGCGCACTGCCAAATCCAGGCTAGTCCCTGGACCACCAGGCTGTGCTCACTGAACAGCCAGGAGGCTCAGGCCCCATGCTGGAGGGAGGCAGCGGGGAGGCAGGATGGGGTCCTCAGGCAGAGTCCCCGAGCAGGGCACCCCCTGAGCACGGCGTCCACAGTGCGGGCAGGCTGCATAAAGCGGGAAGGAACACCAGGGGCCCCCGCGGCCTAGCCCTGCCCCAATCCAGGGAAGCTGCCCTAGCGTCCTGCTCGGGGACAGCTGAACGGTCTGTGTGTCTGTGTCGGGACCTCAGAGGGACTAGGATGGGGTGCAGATGGACAGGCAAACGGAGTGGCCTAGGAGTGTGACACAGACAGCCCAGAGGATGGATCTGTGCCCACAGAGGAGCCTGGAGGCTGGGTGTGCTGTGCGGCCCCAGCAAAGACCTGGAGGGACCACCGGGGACAGGACATACCAGGTCGCACCCATGGGGTCAGCAGCCTATGGGCCCTGGCCCTGGGCCCCCAGGCCATTACTTGCCCCTCTTCCAGCTGACCACAGACAAGGCCAGGACCCACCAGGCAGGAACCTTCCCCCATCCCCCAGATGATGTGAGCCAGGAGGAAGAAGGCCAAGATAGAGAGGCAGGCCCCGCTGTGGCGCGGCCCTGTGTCTGGGATCCAGGCTGCCGGGTCTCCCAGCGCACCTTGCGGCCGGCGGTGCTTTGCTGAGCCATGTCCTGGATGAGAGCGATGAGCAGCTGCTGAGCCCTGCGCAGAGGAGGCCAGCCCTGACCCAGGGCAAGGAAGGCCCCGCCCAGCACCCCCAAACACACCCCTGCGGCCCCGGCCCCCGTCTGCAACCTGGGGGCAGGGAGCCCACTAGGGTCCCCTGGGGTGTTTAGAAAACTGCAGCTGCCAATGGAATTGCTCTGGTTAGGACCCCGCTGACTCCGTGGGAGCCTGGGTGTGGGCCATACTCTGGAACGTTGCAGCAGCAAGCCTGCCGCCACTGAGAGGGACGTGGCTTTGGGGAGCTGGGCAGGGCGCCCTGCTCTGTGCGCTGTGGGGGATCGGGAGCACGGTTCTCCGCAGGGCTGCTGCTGCTCCCTGGGAGGGCAGCCTACTGTCCCGGCTGGCCCCAGACGGAGAGGCTCCCCAGGACACGGGACTTTCCTAGCTGTAACCGAAATAGTCCCGGACACAGCAGGATGGTGGTCACCCAACCCGCAGGGGATGCTGTGCAACGTCTGGAGACATTTTGAATCATCTTGGGGGCAGAGGGGCTCCTTGTGTAGCGGGTGGACGCCGCTGAACGTCCTGCTGTGCCCAGACGGGCCCCCGTGTCTGAGCGAGCCAGCCCCAGATGTCACGCTGGTCCCGGATGCTCTAGAATGGTCTAGGACCAAGGGGCATCCCTTTGCACAAAGAAACCCCACCTACACAGTGACATTGGGGGTGACCCACCGGGGATGCCCCCTCAGGGTGTCTGGTCGTGCCCACCCTCTCCTCTTGGGCAGGAGGGCTCGCCCACAGGAAGCCAGGCCAGGCCCCTTTGGCCGTGCCCCCGGCCCTACCCAGGGAGGGGGAGGTGTTGGGGCGCGCCACCGCGGCTCACCGGGCGTAGTTGGGAATGGTGCCATGCTCCACACCCTTTGTGCTGTAGGGGCCCACGCGGTGGGCGCGCCAGCAGCCGCGGCCCTGGAACAGGGTGTCGCTGACGTGCAGGACATCACTGCATCGCACCCGCAGCTCCCCCTCCGCCCGCGCCTCCATGGCCAGGTTCACCCGGATGTAGAAGGAGTCCCCTGAGGTCACCACGTTGGCCTCCAGGTCCTGGACCAACCTCCTATAACCTGGTCAGAGATAACCCCAGGGCCATGATCCCCCTCGGGGAAAGTTCTGGAATCTGAAAGCAGGAGAGAAGGAAGGAGCCTCCCCTAGAGTCTTGGGAGCCATCCCGGTGCAGGAGCCAGTGGGCGGGAAGGGGACCCCCAGCTGCCCCGCGGCCCTCTGCACACTTGGGGCACAGTCTAGTTCTGGGGTGCGCGCCAGGGGCTCGGGCCTCAGGTGGTGGCCTTGCAGGCTGGGCGGGGGGGAGAGTGTGTACCCTCCGTGTTGACCTTCACAGACAGGCAGCAGAAGCCGTTCACCCTCTGCAGGAGCCCGACAGCTTGCTCCAGGGTCGTGTCCTCCAAGGTGGCCTTGAACGAGGGCTCTGTTGCTTCGTAATCCACCTGAGAGCAAACCAGTGTTGGCCTCTTTCCACCCGGATTCTGTACTCTGCAGTAGGACCTGCTCACCCTTCCCGGCCAGCCGCTCGCACCCACCAGAGCCCTTGCCACCGGCCCTGCTTCAAGACCTCGGGCTCCTCCAGCGACACTCATCCCCGTCCCGAGAGTCAAGCACCAGCCCCTTCCATCAACAGATGACCACGAGGGCCGAGTTTCCACTTCTCAAGACAGAGTCAAGCCTAGAGCATTTCAGGTCAGGGGTTCTCAGCTCGGGACTATTGACATGTGAGGCCACTGTTCTGTGCTGTGGGGTTGGCCCTGGGCCCTGCAGGACGGTGAGCAACATCTCTCCCCCGCCCTACCCCCACCGCCCTAGCGGTGGAAGCCCACAGGCACAGGGCTCTTGCTGTCCACCCCACTTGTTCTCCCAACCCTGGGCTGTTTCAAGTTTAGACGAGTATATATTTTTCAGGGTGCCTGGGCGGCTCAGTGGGTTAAAGCCTCTGCCTTCGGCTCAGGTCATGATCCCGGGGTCCTGGGATCGAGCCCTGCATCAGGATCTCTGCTCAGCGGGGAGCCTGCTTCTCACTCTCCCTCTGCCTGCTGCTCCTTCTGCTTATGCTCAGTCTCTCTCTCTCTCTGTTGAATGAATAAATAAAATCTTTAAAAAAACAACAACAAAAGAAAAACACTGATGAAAGATATTGAAGATGACACAGAAATATGGAAAGACATGTTAAGTACATGGTTTAGAAGAACAAATATTGTTAAAATGTCTCTACTACCCAGAGCAATCTACACATTTAATGCAATCCCTATCAAAATAACACCCGCATTTTTCACAGAGCTGGAACAAACAGTCCTAAGATTGTATGGAACCAAAGAAGACCCCGATAGTCAGAGGAATGTTGAAAAAGAAGACCAAAGTTGGTGGCATCACAATTCCAGACATCAAGCTCTGTTACAAAGCTGTCATCATCAAGACAGAATGGCACCAGCACAAAAACATAGATCAATGGAACAGAATAGAAAGCCCAGAAATCGACCCTCAACTCTATGATCAACTAATCTTCGACAAAGCAGGAAAGAATGTCCAATGGAAAAAAGACAGTCTCTTCAACAAATGGTGTTGGGAAAACTGGAGAGATTTTGTTATGTGCCAAAGAATGAAACTGGACCAGTTTCTTACACCATACAGAAAAGCAAACTCAAAATGGACGAAAGACCTAAATGTGAGACCTGAGACCATAAAAATCCCAGAGGAGAACACAGGCAGTAACTTCTTTGATCTTGGCTCCAGCAACTTACTGGACACGTAGCCAGAGACAAGGGACTTCATCAAACAAAAAGCTTCTGCACAGTGAAAGAAACAGTCAACAAAACTAAAAGGCAGCCTTTGGAGTGGGAGAAGATACTTGCAAATGACGAGGCCAATAAGGGTCAGTGTCCAAAATACATAAAGAACTTACAGAACCCGACACCCAAAAAACAAATAATCCAGTTAAAAATGGACAGAAGGAAAGAAATGGGCAGAGGACATGAACAGACATCCCTCCAATGAAGACATCCAGATGGCCAACAGACACATGAGAAAGTGCTCCACATCACCCGGCACCAGGGAAATACAGATCAAAACCACGATGAGATCCCACCTCATGCCAGTCAGAATGGCTAAAATTAACCAGTCAGGAAATGACAGATGCTGGCGAGGATGCGGAGAAAGGGGAGCCTCCTCCACTGTTGGTGGGAATGTAAGCTGGTGCAGCCATTCTGGAAAACAGTACGGAGATCCCTCGGAAAGTTGAAAACAGAGTTGCCCTATGACCCAGCAATCACACTACTGGGTATTTACCCCAATGATACAAACATGGTGATCCGAAGGAACACATGCACCCCAATGTTCATAGCAGCAATGTCCACAGCAGCCGAACTACAGAAAGAGCTGAGATGTCCATCAACAAGTGAATGGATAAAGAAGATACAGTTTACACACACACACACACACACACACACACACACACACACACACACGATGGAATACTATGCAGCCATCAAAAAGAATGAAATCTTGCCATTTGCAACAATGTGGCTGGAACTAGAGGGTGTTATGCTGAGTCAAATAAGTCACTCAGAGAAAGACAATTACATGATCTCACTCATATGTGGAATTTAAGAAACAAAACAGAGGAGCAAAGGGAAAAAAGGAGAGAGAGAGTGAAACCAACCCTTAACTCTAGAGAACACACTGATTTTTACAGAGGGGAGGTGGTGGGGTTGGATGAAACAGGCGATGGGGATTTGGGACTTGGGGTCATTATGGGAAGTGTTGAGCTGCTCTGTTGTGCACTGGAGACCAATATAACTCTGTATGTTCACTAACTGGAATTAAAAACTTTCAAGTAAATAAATAATAATAAAATATATTAAGATAACAGGACTGTCTCCCCAGACATCATAAAAGCTGCTTTAGCCACAACGTAGTCTGTTAGTGGTGAGGGAGAAGCGGGGGGCCCCAGGGCCCGGGAGCAAAGGCACCTGCCGCCCACCCTTCTCAGCACTCGTCTCCACCCCACGCCGTCCCTGCTGCAGCCCAGGCTCCTCCTCAGGAACACTGTTCTCTTGCTTTCGGGCCACATTGAAGTCACCTCCCTGCTCACACATTCACTTGATAATCATTAGTCAAGCAGTGTATTTATGGGTTTTGCAGTTTAGTCAATATTTCCCAATAAATAATTTTTTTAAATGCCCCGAACAAGATGGTGAAGTGTGTGTGATGGCTGTGTGTTTTACTACATACACAGGGCATGGTCGGCCCATAAAGAAAGAACAGGACTATAGCTGTATCAAAAGATCCCGGGTCAGTGCCGTGGCAGCCAGAAGCCTTCTCCGATGGCCGGTGGACCAGCCCCACGGCAGCTCTCAGGCTCACCCACCCCAGTTTGAGAAGGTTGGGGATCCAGACGGGGCAGGGCTACTGTGGGAGTCAGCTGGGGCTAGCTTCTAAGTGCGTGTGACCTTAGTCCGCAGACAACGCGTCCTTGTCAAGGCAGAGCTGCAGCTTCTGACCTGGCCCCGAGAGGGGGCAGCGGGGGGTGCCCGCGGGGTGGGGGACACACTCACCATCATGATCTGGGTGCCCGGGCGCAAGGCCATCTCGTCCGCCGGCGAGCCAGGGGTGACCCGGTGAATGAAGATGCCCGTGTGGTTGCCACCAATGACGCTTATCTGCTCCAGCAACGCGTCCCCCTGGAAGGCCAGCACGGTGACCTGGCTCAGGATCTTGCGGGCCAGCCTCCTCCGCACTGGGACGCTGCTGCAGGACAGGAGGTGACAGAGCCCACCAGCCACAGGGGGGGGGGTGTCGGGCCAGGCCCCAACGCCGCCGGCCCCAGCGTTCTGAATTGTCTCTCTCTCTCTCTCTCTCTCACACACACACACACACACACACACTGCCATGACCTCATCCTCAGAGGGGCTGTCACCTCCCAGTGGTGTTAGGACACAGCCCTCACTCTGCCCTCCCACCTGCGGCCCTGGCCACTCCCACTGCTCACCTGGATGAGGTGGTGAGACCCCCGTTGCAGGGCTGCACGCTGCTCTCACACTCAGGAAGGTCTGCACGGAAGGGCCGGGCTCAGACACAGGACAGGCCCGTCCCTGGGGCTCTGCCCTCCCATCGGAGCTTTACTTACTGGGGCAACCTGGTCCCGCATCCCAGCCCTGGGTTGCACCCCGCGGGCCTGTCTCCTTCTGCTGAGGCCGGACCTCCCCGCCTCTCCCCTTCCTCACTGCTGAGAACCCTAACGTCATCTTCCCCTGGACAGGAGCGGGATTTGGCCTAGTGTGTCCTCACGCGACAGCTGAGTGGCTCCCCCACATTTACAGGACAGGGCACCTTGGGGCTCGATTTCTGGCTCCATTAAAAGTCCGCTCTGGGTGCGGGGGTGGGTGACACAGGGGACGGGGACTGAGGGTGGCTTGTGACGAGCGCTGGGTGCTTAGAACAAAACGTGAAATTATCAAACCCGGCATAACTGGGCGCACTTCTGCCGGCTCCTTGCGCCGAGCTTACGGCGGGACAGAGCACACCGGCGGGACCAAGCGCACCGGCGGGACTGCCCCGGTCACACCGAGTCCCACCCCGAGTCCCAGGAAAACGGACCCTCCGGCCGGGCGGATGCCGCTGCGCGGGGGAACCAGGACGCTACCCGGAGCTGCGACAGAGGGATGCAAGGAGCGGTGCATCCAGGATGCAGACGCCCTGGGGGTCGCCCTTGGACCGCGGTTCCAGAGACGCCAACCTTCCCGCTAGGGCGGGGATTCTGGCCTCGTGGCGGGCTGGGAGCCCCGACCCCGCCTGCCCCAGGGGCGGCCACTCCAAACAGCACGAAGCCTGTTCGCCCCCTGGTGGCCACCGTGGGGAATTCGGACCGGGTGCTAAGCGCTTGCGGTGCCCCAGGCCTACGGCTGGGGGCAGGTGTGTAGGGTGGAAAAGGGGAGAGGCTGTCCGAGTGGGGCCCGTGGTAGAGAAGGAGAGGAGGTCGGTCAAGTCACAAATACGAGCAATGAGCCCCAGAAGTGGGTCTCAGGTGCCACCGCTGGGAGGAGAGATGTTCCCAACAGGTGCCTCCTCCGGGGTGGGGGTGGGGGTACGAAATCCTGCTGCCTTCTGATGTCGCTGGGAAACCTGAGTGTCCCCAGACCAGAGCAGGGAGGGACCGCGAGAAGGAACGTGTGTCCGGAGCTGTCTAAGCCTTTACTGCTGAGTGGGATGGAAAGAGGAGCACAGCTCCCTTGGCTTCCAGGTGAGAGACCGAAAGGACGCCCGGTGAACAGGGCATGGGCTGGAATGACCATGTACTTGGGATTGCCCAGAGGCCCAGGGCAGGGCAGCAGGGAAGCTCGCTTCCTCAGCCCAGCCTCTGGAGAGGCACTGGCTTGTCTCGCCGGCCTCCCTGGAAACCCCTGTTCTCCCTCCTCCTCCTGCTCAGCCGGCCCAGCCCAGGGGCGAGGGGATGGCTGCAGAGGCCCAAGTGGGGTGCACTCACCTGCTCTGTCTACAATCTCATAATCCAGGTCGGCATCCACTGCCTTCACCCCCCGGGAGAGTCCTTGGTCCACCTGCCGGATTTCTAGGAAACCACTGGAAAGCATGGGAAGACGACAGCTCAGGCGGTGCCGCTGTCTGCCTGCTCAGACCCCCCTGACCTGCCCTCAGCCCATATCCGGCGAGCTGCTGGGGCCCGTGCCATCCGAACCCCGTGGCCTATCATTACCTAAGAGACCAGGGGTCTTCCCGGAAGTCCTCTGCCGCCCGCTTGTACAGGGACTGTGGACTGGGAGGCAGGGGGCTGCTGGAGCGGAAGCTGTCCACCAGCTCGCGGTTGCACGTGGCGTTGAGGTCAGAGCAGAGCTGAGACTGGAGGAGGACAAGGCTGAGGCCGGCATAGCGCTCCCAGGGGGACCCCGCTCATCCCCTCCCTGCTGCTCCACTGGATGAGGGGCAAAACTGTAACAAACCGTGGTCCCTAACTCTCGGGGCAGAGGACTGAGAAGGACATAGCCCAGAGCTGGGTCATACTAGCTGGACCCTACTGCGTGCCAGGCCCCTGCCGGCTGCTTTCCACATTCCCCGTTACTCAGTGCAGACGCACACATCTACGCGGTGGGTAGCATGGTCCCACTTCACATGCAAAGCCACTGAGGCCCAGAGAGGCCCAGGCCCAGGCTGGCAAGGGCCACGTGTGGAGCGAGTCAGGTGCGCAGTGCACATCTGAACACAGGCCTGCGGCCACGTTGCCAGCCACACACACACACACACACACACACACACACACACACCCTGTCTAGCCCGCCAGGGGAGGGCGCAGCTGGCTTGACCCAGGAGAGGAGGAGGCACTGGCCGGCAGTACCTCAGTGGAGCTGGGGCTGCTGTCGTCACTGTCATCCCGCGGGCAGATGGCGAACATACGCACGAGCGGCTGCTTCCCCCTCAGACCCGGCTCCCTGGCTCCGGCTTCCTGCTCAGGCTGCCCGAGACGGGCCCCCGGCTGCTCAGTTCAGGCAAGTTTCCTCTCGGATGCTCCTGGGGGTTTCCAGCAAACCCACCTCCCTCCTGCCTCCACCTCCCCACTCCCGGCTCCAGGCAGCCTCCCCTGCTCATGTCCCCTCCTCGGAGCATGAGAGCCCCAGCCCTGCAGAAGCCGAGCCCCGAGGACAGCGACCAGCCTCGTGATGCTCTTTGGTCAGGAGCGGGGCTCCTGTATTTATGTATGTATGTATGTAATACGTACATACATACATATATATTTTGGGGGGGGGACGTGGTAGGTGTGAGGAGGGTGAAGGAAGAAAATTTAAAATACCTATTGCTCGTGGGCATGGGGAAGATTAAGTTCTACAGGTTGTATAAATATAAGATTTTGCAACTTTGAAGAACCCCGTACAACCACATGTATTACAATGTGAAATACACTGTCTTCTAGAAGTAGCTTGCAAATCCTTGGAAACTAATTTCTGGAGGTAAAAGCATCAAGTGGGGTTTCCCCGACCAGGAAGAGGAGGGTGTGGCTCAGCCTCAGGGAAGTCCTGGCCCCTCTGTAGGGTCTCACCACCCCCCGACCCCGTGCCTGGAGCTGGAGCTGCTGACAGACCGTAACTGGAGGTTTTGTAATCGTTTTAGCTCTTTGGGAACATAGCTTCCTTCGTGCCTGAAGCCAGCTCCTGGCCATCGGACTTGCAAACATCTCGGGAACGCATGAGCTACAAAAGCGAGTGGCTGCCGCCTGGCCCAGTCTCATAGGCTCTCTTTCTTCGTGGAACACCATATGTTACAGGTTCCAGAACCGTCTGCCCAGCTACCTGTCCCACGGCGTGTGTAGACCACCACCAGAGGCAGACATAGGCTCAACTCACCCAGTTATGTCTTCAGTGATTCGGTAACAAGGCTCGCCCATGAGAGCCAGAGGGCCTGATGTCCCAGGCGGGGCGCACGTGGCCCGGGACCCGTTCCCCCACCCAGCCCGGTCTCCCCGTGGGGTGGGAGGGAAGCACTCACCCCCTGGGGGGACTCGGCCGGCCTGCGGAGCTGCTGGCGCAGTTCACAGACGTGGTCCGTCAGCTCGAACACTTCTCTGCGGAGGGAGTCCTTCTCCGCCAGGTTCTGAGCAATCTCCATCTGGGCGGCGTCCCGGGCGGAGTAGGCCTGCCAGCCCGACAGGAAAGGAGGGAGGATGGTGCCGAGGGGGCTGGGAATCTGGAACCAGTTGCCATGGGCGGGTGCGGGGCGCCCCATGACCCCAGCCAGCTCCTCGAGGAGCCTGGGCCGGACGGCACACCCTGTCCCCGCTCGGCAGTGCCCCGGGGCCCCCCCAGTCAGGCACCTGGTCTCGCTCCTTCTGCAGCTGCTGGAGCTGACCCCGCAGGGCGTTCACCTTCTCCTTGTAGATGTCACAGTCCACCTTCGTCCTCTGGAACTGGAGTAGGGTCTGCTCCTTCTCTTCCCAGTACTGGCCGGGGACGAACACAGCCCATGCAGGCAAGCGGTGTGGGGTGGGGGGTGCAGGGGGGTGGCGGTGGTCGGGGACAGAGCGGCTGGTTCGGGAGCTGATATGGGTGACTTCCTGCTTGTTCCTTAAGCGCTAAATCTCGGGGTGGGCCTGCGGGGTTGCCGCGCTGATTACACCGGGACTCAGTTATCAGAACACACGTGGACGCGGCAGGTCGAAGCACGTGTTGTCCATCCCGCGTCCCAAAAGACGTGAACCATGTCTCATTGCTGCCTCTCTCTATCCCACCATCTCCTTCCTCCCGACCCTCCCCTGCCTGTCGTAGCCACGAAGTAACGCCCGCCCCACCGGAAAGCAGCCTGAGCTTTGTTGCTCGTGGGCCCGGTCCTTTCCTAAGCACCCACAGACCAGAGGCGACCGCTAGCCCGGGGCCGTGAGTCTGTGCCCCATGAAGCTCTCACGAGGGATGAGCGTTCGTGAGAGCCTGACCTCCCGGCCCCTGCCCTGCGCTGTCGCGGCCACCTGCCGGGGTCACCTGCTTGCGCTGCCTCTCAGCGGCCACGGCCCGCTCCCTCAGAGAGTGGATGCGGTCCACCAGCTCCTGCTTGCTCTCCAGGGCCTCGTCCAGGTTCTGCTCCAGGATGTCCTTCTCCGCCTGGGACAGAGAGAGGTCGGCCCAGGGACCCCGGCCTCCTGAAGGTCCTGCCCCTGGGAAGCGCCCCGTCTTTCTGCCCTGAGAATAAGCAGCAGGAAACTTCGGGGCCGGGCACGTGAATGGATTCAGGCTTATCCCCGCACCCGAGGCAGGACAAGACACAGGGTCAGCCATCAAAATGGGAAATGTGTGTTCTGCTTCTGTTTCTCTGGGCTGGGGACAGAAAGTAAACTGGAAGTCTCTTGGTGGGGGCCATCCCCCCGCCCGGCTGGGCCATGTCAGGCTGCTCTGACCACAAGGTCACCAGCACGGTCTCCCACAGAGGACCCACCAGGGGACAGGCCATTCCCTCTCCTGCCCACTTCTCAGGAAGGGGCTTAGGAATGGTGGCACTGCCCAGGCCCCATGACCAGGCCCACCCTGCACCGGGGTGTCTGTCACTGGACAGAACAGTTTTTTTTTTTTTTAAAGATTTTACTTATTTGACACACAGAGATCACAAGCAGGCGGAGAGGCAGGAAGAGAGAGAGGGAGAGGTAGGCTCCCCGCTGAGCAGAGAGCCTGATGCGGGGCTCGATCCCAGGACCCTGGGATCATGACCTGAGCCGAAGGCAGAGGCTTAACCCACTGAGCCCCCCAGGGGCCCCGATGGAACAGCTCTATAAACAGACTTGGTATTGATGGAAAGGAACCCACGAGGAGAGGCGGAAGTTTGCATAATTCCAGCAGTTGGTGTCACCCAGTTCCGCCCCTTCCTTCCCCAGCACGCGTGGACGGGACAGCACGGGACAGACTATTCTGCAGGCACAACACAACGGTGCCCCCCGCCCCCAGATCCCGCCATTTACAATCAGCCTAATTCCCTCCCGCCGCTGGGCCGGGGGGGGCTTGCTAGGTAGCCCCGTAGCTGTTCACCCTGCCCACACTCGAGGCCAGACAGGCGCAGGAAGGGACACGTAGCGTGTCCCAGGATGGCCTCCCGGCCTCAGCCACCCCTCCAGGGACCACCTGTGAGAACCAACCACCCCCGCCCCCGCCCCAGGCAGCTGCCAGGGAAAGGTGCGGGACCCACCAGGCTGAACGTCAGCGACCGGAGCTTCTCATTCTCCTCCTTCAGGCGGCTCAGCGCCTTGTCCCCGGGCTCCAGGTCCCCAGCCATCTGCGGGGACCGCCCCCGCAATTCTCGCGCGTGGCAGGAAGACATCTTCTCGCGCTGCAGCTCCTGCTTGGTCAGGTAGAGCTGCCGGGAGGAGGCGGAGGGAGGGCAGGGTAAAGGCTGGTTCTCCACCCGCCCGGGGGGGCCTGTGCGTCCCTCAGCCTCTGTCCTCCGGAGGACGCTTTCCATCCCTCAGGGGGCCCCTCCCCGGACTTCAAACTCCATGGAGGAGTTCTACCTGGTGAACAGTTCCAGCTCCTGCGGGGGAGAAAGGCATTTCTAGCTTTATTTTTTAGATGAGGTGAGCCATGGAATCACGGGGTGGGGTCCCGGGAACAGAGGAAGGAGCCCGGGAAATCAGCTCTCTGGAAATCAGCCCAGGAAATCCCTCTCTGGAAACTTCAAGTCCCAGCAGCCGGTGGGTGGTGAGTGACCAGCGAGCGAGCCTCGTCCAGCATGTTCCCTGACTTCCCCGCCTTCCCACATTCTGCTGAGTACGTGGCAAAGGGACTCAGGATTCGTGGAAAGCAGGACGTGAGAAGAAAGGAAATCGAGTCAGACGGAGCAGAGATGCCTGATCTACGCAGACGCACTTGCAATCCCGAGCAAATATGGGCCACCCCTGGCCCCACAGGCGGTGTGTCCAGGGCTGTGGTCCCCTGGAAGCTACATGGCCAGGGCCTGGGGGCCTCCACCCTGCCACCCTGCAGGATTGCACCCCAAGAGAAACTCAGACCTGGAACCCAGGGCCTGGCCTCTCGCCCCCAGGAGGGTGTGGTGCCCCTGGCGGGGAGGGGACTTTCCCCAAAAGAAAAACCCAGAAAGTCTGGGTGTCAGGGTGGAGGCAGCACTCCCTCTGGGGTCAAGAGGAGAAGGAAGAACCTTTCCACTCGGGCTTTTTCCCTCCTGACATCCCCATAGCAAATTTTCCATAAGCAACTGCACAGCTCCGGCTGTGGGCCGTCTGCATTAGAGCGCGTTAGACTCCGTATACTAACTCACTCCTTGGGACCTGCACGGGGCTGGGTGCGGGGCTAAAACTGAAAATAAACTGAGCAAATGAACCTTATTTCAAACACTGGGGCCACAGCGATGGGAGGGAGAGAGAGGCAGAGGGATGGAGAGCGCCAGCCATAGCAGCTCATGAACGACAAACCCTCAGCTCTCGACAGCTCTGTTTGGTGCCCGAGGTGTTTGCCATGGCCTATAGGCTGGAGCAGGTGAGCGTTCGTGTGGGTGGGGGGATTCTCACTGTGGAAGAAGGGGAGCCCAAAGATGGCATGGGGGAGGCAGGGACACACCCTGGGGACGGGCCAGAATTAGAGGTGGGTGTGACCTCACAGTTTCTAAGATACACGTGTCTGTGGACATGCATCCTTGCACGCGTAAGTCTGTATGCATATCTGTGTGTGTCTGTGCACGGGCGTGTGTATGTGCACGTTTCCTAGCTCTGTCTGCTGGAAGCGCCAAGGAGCAAAGACACCCCAGGGGCAGTGAGCACCCCCAGGGCCCCGATCTTGCTGTCTGCAAGAATCTAGGGCCCTGGGGCACCTGGGTGGCTCAGTGGGTTAAGCCTCTGCCTTCGGCTCAGGTCATGATCCCAGGGTCCTGGGATCGAGCCCTGCATCGGGCTCTCTGCTCAGCAAGGAACCTGCTTCCCCCCCTCTCTCTGCCTGCTTCTCTGCCTACTTGTGATCTCTGTCTGTCAAATAAATATTAAAAAAAAATAAATAAAAGAATCCAGGGCCCTTCAGGGAAATGGCTGAGCCCAGAGCTGGGGCAGGGTGGGGACGAGACGATCCTAGGAACTCGAGATACCAGCAAGGGAGTGTGCGCTCAGAAAACGAGGGGCCGTGCCACAGGACACGGAGGACATTGAAGGGGCCCCCCCGGCCAAATCTGGGATCATCTGAGGAAACTGCTTCGGGACGGTAGTATGTTACAGACTACTGGAAACGGGAGTCCACATGCCTATGCCACAACAGACACACGAGCGGGGGGGTGGGGAGGATTAAAGGCTCCTCCTCCCGGCAGGGGTGGGGGCCACAGGGGGCAGGGAGAGGGACAGCCGCACCTCCTCCTGCAGGCTTCGGCAGCGCGTGGCGGCCAGCTCCTTCTCCCGCAGCGCGTTGCTGTAGTGCAGGGACAGACCGAGCATCTCGTCCTTGAGCTTCAGCACCTCGTGGAAGTGGGCGCTGACCTCGCGCTTCATGCGGTCGTGGTCGGCTTCCATCTGGCCCAGGCTCTGGACGCGGGCCTCGGCCTGGCCCAGGTGCTCCTGGAGCTGCTGGCAACGCCGCAGCAGGGCCTCCTTCTGCCCCTTCTCCTGGCTTAGCTCCTCCTGCAGGCTGCTGATGGCCCCGGCCAGGCACTCGGTCAGCTTGGACGTCTCCATGAGCCCTGCGGACAAGGGGCAGGTGGGCCAGGGCACCTCCCTCCTCGGCCACCAGGGGCTTTGCTACCTCTGCCCAGACCCTCAAGCAGGAGTCCCCCGACCCTAATCTGTGGGTCTCCTTAGAAACTTCCGGGCTTGGGGTACCTGGGTGGCTCAGTGGGTTAAGCCTCTGCTTTTAGCTCAGGTCATGGTCTCAGGGTCCTGGGATCGAGTCCCCCATCGGGCTCTCTGCTCAGCAGGGAGCCTACTTCCTCCTCTCTCTCTGCCTGCCTCTCTGCCTGCTTGTGATCTCTCTGTCAAATAAATAAATTAAATCTTAAAAAAAAACCCACAAAACTTCCGGGCTCAACCGGGCTCAGTTCTGGTTATATAAATAGCATGACTGGTAACGGTGGAACCAGGATTACCCCCTTGAGCCTTCCCAGGGGACCCTGCTGTGTAGACCCAGCTCCCCCTCATCAGCTAAGGCGTGCTCCTGCCAGATCTTCTCCATGCCACCCTACGAGAGACATAACAAGAACGAGGGATAAAAATCCATACAACAGAACTCCAACTAACGTCACCACGGTCTACGATACCAAACAGGCAGAAAGGTTTTCCCATCCAGTTTTGAGTGATGCTGGTCCTGCCCTTTGCACACCAAAGTCTTTCTATAGCTCCTGCACGGAAGCCTGAAATCAGCGAACAGAAATGGCCGTATTTCCCTTTAGGTCGGCTCGATCTCCGCTCTTCCGGTTGAGCGGAGGTACGGAAGGCTGCCGGCTCCACTCCTCCTCCCCTCCGGCAGGGGCCTCTCCCAGCAGAAGCCGCCCCAGGACCGGGCTATCCCCTCCACATAAGCACACGGCTGAGGCTAAGGCCATCTCAGGAGCGTTTCTAGGGAAAGGCCATACTTGCCCTCTCCCTGCATCTCCCGGGTACAGACTCTCTGCCCCAAGCGGAGTTCCCATTGCTACTGCAGAAGTAGGGACAGATCTTTCCTTTCCTTTTCTTTTTAATATTTTATTAGAGAGAGAGAGAGAGCAGTGGGGAGGGGGAGAAGCAGACTCCTCACTGAATGGGATCCTGATGCAGAAGTCGATCCCAGGACCCTAAGACCATGACTTGAACCGAAAGCAGATGCTTAAGCAACTGAGCCACCCGGGCGCCCCAAGATCTTTCCTTTTAGATCCAGAGGCCACGGGTTCCTTCTCCTGCCACCCACACACGGTTAGTGGGGGTGTCATCACCCCCAGAGTGCTGGGGGGTTAGCAGGAGAAGCAAGAGCATGCAGGCACTGGGACCCAGAGGCTCCAAAGAAGCCTGTGCCCAAGACCCCCAGCCCCATGACCCAGCCCTCACCACTGAAGTTGCTGAAGTCCACCTTGGGCTGCAGCCCGGTGACCAGGGTGTAGATGTCCGGGTTGTGGAACTTCAGGCTCTCCAGGAAGGCAATGGCTCCGTTCTTCCCTCGCGTCTTCAGCAAATCCAGCAAGTGCCCTTGGGTGAGAGGATGGTGTCAGGTCGTGAGGTTCTGGGTTTCCCTTGGGATGCAGGATGCGGAGGAGGAGGAAATCCTCGCACATCTAGGGATCAGGAGGTGACAGCAGTTTTCCGGGATCCCTGGGGGCGGGTGCCCTCATCGCTCTTCTCGGTCCTTTAAGGGACGTGTCGGCAGCCAGTCCCCAGAAGGGCCAGGCTCATAGTCCTTGAGAAGCTACTATATATAACCCAAGTGCCAAGAGTTGTTCATAAAAGAAGGAAAAAGGTGACGTTTGCTCTAAAGACCTCCCAGCCATGTTAGCGGACATATGCGGACACCATACAAATCTCATGGGATGAAAGAAGCAAAGGACAGTGCCCCAGGGCCCGAGTCCCAGCGAGCCTGCCTCCCGGTCCCACGGCTCTCAGCAGGCCTCCTGATCCCATGGCTCTCAGCCCAGCTTGGTGGCTTGGATTCCTTTCTCCTGGATCTAAGGCTCCTAAACATCAGGCAGAAACAGAATCATGTTCATAGCGACCACTTTACTGCCTGCTTCCTATAGCCGCGGCTTGGAGGTCAGTGTCTTATAAACTGTCTCATCCAGTCTCCTAAAATTCTGACAGGGTGAGGCTATCAGCTTCCTTGGTTTTCAATGAATGAACATAGCTAGTCAGACTCTCAGAATCGGCTCCGAAGACATCTGGAGTGGGTTGAATTGTGCCCCCCTCCCCCAAACAAAGGAACCTTCATCTGGAACCTGCCAATGGCAGCTAATCTGGAAAAGGGTCTTTGCGGAAGAGATCACCCTGGATTATCGGGGTCGGGGGTCCTGAATCCACCGAATCCAGTAACAAGTGCACCCATGAGACAGAAAAGGAGACACAGAGAAGACCACGTGAGGACAGAGGCAGACCCTGGAGGGATGTGGCCATAAGCTGAGGGCCAGCTCGGGCCACCAGGAAGGCACAGGCAGGGACATCCCCCTCGAGCCCACACCTGGATCCCAAACTATGAGCCAATACGTCTCCGCTGGTCCAAGCCATCCCGGGCTGGTCGCCTGTTACGGCAGCTCTGGGAAGGCCCTACAGAGTCCCCATGCCTGGAACGTGGGTCCTTAAAGTCCTGCACTCCCTGCCGGGCCCCAGGCTTTGTGGCACAGCCCGTGTGGAGCTGCCGTGGCGGGGAGGGGCCGAGGAGCCGGTGTGCTCCCGGGGGTCCTCACCGACTCTCATGACGGTGTTGGTGAACCTGGGGCCGTGGAGCACCTCCTCCTCGTCCAGCTGGTCCAGCACCTTGGCCTGGCGCAGGTAGGGGGTGAGGCGGCTGGGGCAGATGCTACGCACAATCTTGTGGCGGTGGCTCTCCAGCAGCTCCCATAGCGCGTCCTCGTCCAGCGCGGTCAGCGTGGACTCCGTCCGGCGCAGCTCCGCCATGGCCCCGAAGCCGGGAATGCTGGAAGGAGAGGGTGGCCGTGGACGGCTGGACCCAGCGACACAGCCTCCGGGCCCGCAGGGGCCTTTCCAGTCCAACCCCCTCACCCCAGGTCACGGGCGGGCGGGGAGGGGAGTGACCGGTCTGGAGAGGACGGTGACGCCGCCCTGGCCCTGGTGCCCAGTGACCTGGGCCAGGGCGCTAATTAGCCCTCCCTCTTGCTGATTTCACATCAATTCCTCTCTCCGGAGAAGAACAAGAACTGGTTTCTCTGGGCGTCGGGACACTGAATTTGCCTTTGAAGCCTGGGAAACTGCCCTGGGCCCTGGGGAGCTGATTTACAAGCTTGGTCCAGAACAAGCATTCTCAACGGGGGCGACAGAGCCCCCCGAAACTCTTACCCTTCCACGTACAAAGCTCAGCTGTGCACGAACACATTCAGCACACCTGTGATATGACGATCTCTCGGAGCACAGCGAGGGAGGAAACGTCTAAGGCGGCTCCTTAGGGCTGAGGACGGCAGGAGCTTCAGGGACACTGCCTGGAACAAACGTAGGGTTTGGATGGCCCATCCAGCCCCCCCCCCCCGGCAACCAGAGGAGGCCCCCACAGGCCATGGTGAGGGCACGCGGGGAACAGGTGGGAAGCGGGCTGGGGGGAGGCGTGTGTGCCCGGAGAGCCCACTGCTTTTATTTGACGTGACCCCAGGACACCCGTCCGGAGACGCTCAGGGCATGTGCTAGGGAGTGACACTTGGCAAGAGTGTACTAGAAAACAATTTAGAACAAAAACCAAGGACTCCGAGCAAGTAATACGGGCCGCCACCTCTCGGCTGGTGGGTCTCCGAAGGGGCTCGGCTGCCTTGGGCCTGGGTGGACTCTCTGGCTGCGGCCACAGGCTCTTGGACTGTCTGGGTAGAGATCATGGAGCAGCTCACCCTCCAAGTACCTGACCAGCCGCTCTGGGGCAGGGGGTGTTGATGCAACTGACCTAAAATCTAAGACCTTCTGTTGGGAGCACCTGGGAGGGCACCACCCGGCCTCCCGCCCACGGAGCTCACCTGGGTACCTCCAGCTTTGCAACGAGCCCCTGGCTAAGTCTCTCTCTTCCCTCCTGGCCCTGGCACAGGGTCATTAGAACATTTTCCATCTGAACAGTTCTAAAATGCTTTTAAATCCTGGGCTGGTTCGAGTGTATTTTTCTTGTTTTGTTTTGTTTTTGTTTATTTTAAGACATCGAGAGAAAGCCCAGCGCGGACCCTGACTCCGGGCTTGATGTCGCAATCTTGAGATCACGACCTGAGCTGAAATCAAGAGTGGGAGGCTTAACCCACTGAGCCACACAGACACCCCTAGCTCAAGCTATTTAAAAAGTCCCACAAACAGACAACATATCTGTGTGCCCATCATTCAGACTCAGCAGAAGGTTCCTCATTAAGGGAATGCATCGTTAGAGTGGGCTCAGTCCTGCTAGCTGCAGCCTGGCCCTCCCCCTGTGCCCAGAGGGAGCTGCCAGGCCGTGTCCCACGTGTGGGTGTGTCTGCAAACAGATGCCCACTTTTACACGATTCCTTGTGCGAGGAGGAGCTGAACGTAAATGGTGTCTTTCCTGTTGACTCTAACTTTCTATAAACAGTGTCATGCTGGGCACAGCTCTACACTCCACGTGTTCCTCACCGAGGTTTAGTTGCTTACAACCTTTCCTCCCTTTTTTAACTCGTGCTGGATTCAATGATACGAACAAGCCACAGCTGACTTCTGCCGATGCCCCTGTGGCCAGCATTAGGCTGTTTCTACTTTTTCTCCAACCCCCTCGGTGCTGTGGTGAGGTCCTTGGGCACAGATGGGGACGTTTCTCTTAGACCCCTGAATTCCTGGGATTTGGTTCTTTTCCTTTGGAATAACAAGCTGGAGTGGCTGGAGTCAAATGCCTCTGGAAGAGGTCTGTCCACTAAAAATGCTGGAAAGCCAGAGCAAACCAACCGGTGTAAATTCAGGAAAATGGGAAATGGTGGTGAGAAGATCTCATCTCCACGAACGCACCCACCCCCCGATCTGTACGAGGAACCCAGGCTACAGAAAGTGCTCACTGAGAAATGCTCACTCTTGTGTTCCCAGCAGCTCCTCGCGGTGGCTTGGGATCTGGAGCCCCCTCCGTGGCCAGCTGTGGCTCCGCCGCCGCCAGTCCCTTTCCCTGTAGGCTGCAGGGAGGATCGGGCCGGGCGGGAATAGCCGGCCAAACCAGCACCAAGATGGGCTTCCTGCTCTCTCCAGCCCCGAGCTGCTCCAGAATTCAAAGTTCAGGCCCCAAAGACTAATGCAAGGAGGAGGAAAAAAAAAAAAAGGCAAGCTCAGATCCAGGAAATCACTTGACAGATCTTTGACCTCTGGTTTGCTCAGTAACTACAGACACTTTCTCAGGGCTTAGAAGCAGGTTCCTAGAAGGAACCGGGTGGTGAACCATGGCATAGCTACCCACCACGTCGTGGGCCCACCCGACTGCGATGGTTGCCCATACCTGAATCTACTAAAAGCCATAAATCGCACCCCTTAAATCGGTGAATTGTGTGCTACATGAATTATGTTTTAACAAATTTTTTTTTTTTTTTTTAACGAAAAGTTCCCAGAGCTGCTGGTAACCACACCCTGCTTCCCTCTGGCCCCCTCCCTGCCAGCATGCAGAGGAGGGTGGGTGGTGGGGAGGTCTCCTGGGGAGCTGGCCTGCTTTCTGTAGTCCAAGCTGGACCTGCAGGTGTCCTGGCCATCTGGGGCCCCCAAACAAGCTCCACCCTTGCCCCCTGACCTTCCCTCCTGGCATCTGCCTTTCCATCCCCTGCTCTCGCTCATTCCAGTATCCGTGTACCCCTCTGTTGCCCTGCGCCCCAGGAGCACTTCTCCAGATGCGTGAAGGTGTCTTTGATGAACCGGTGACATTTGTCATGGGGACAGCTGCCTCCCACCGTGTCTGGCTCAGACTCTGGGTCCAATTCCACATATAAAATCAGTCCAGATGATAGAGGTACCCAGTGAAGCAAGACTCAGAATCTCTGCCCCAGCTCCTCCCGAAGTACGTCAGAATTGTAAATAAACACGTAAATAATAAACAGCCACAAAATGAGGAAAGGTGGAAAGGTAAACACTTTCCATCAAACACTCTGAAAAATAGTAAATGAGTCCTGAGACCGATGGGCTGGTACAGGGGGCACGGGACCCAGTGACTCCCCCAGCCCCCATCACAGAACCAGGGGGAGGGTCTCAAGGACTTGCCCCACTAGCTGTTCATCTCGAGAGAAAGAAACCGCGGACGTCCGCAGAGCTGAAGAAAGAACCCAGAACTCCCTAGGACTTGCACAGAGAAAGCTCAGCTGAGGCGAGGGAGCGGGGGGGACCATGCTGGGGTGGGAAAAAGCAGGAGCCCAGGCTGCACTCCTCACTGCGTGGTGAGCCCTGGGTCCGTTGCATTTCCCATCTGGACCCCAGCTCGGCAGGACTCCATAGCAGGTCTAACACCGGACTTTTTTTTTTTTTTTTTTTAAAGATTTTATTTATTTATTTGATAGACAGAGATCAGAAGTAGGCAGAGAGGCAGGCAGAGAGAGAGAGAGGAAGGGAAGCAGGCTCGCCGCTGAGCAGAGAGCCCGATGCGGGGCTCGATCCCAGGACCCTGGGATCATGACCTGAGCCAAAGGCAGAGGCTTAACCCACTGAGCCACCCAGGCACCCCTAACACCGGACTTTTTGTAGACTCCCGCCCCATCGTGGTGAACACAGGTCAGCTCATGCTACCTGCTGTCTCGCCGGGGCAGCTGAAGACAGGGGTCTCTTGGGGGCTTTCTACACCCCAACCAACCGGGCCGGGTCCCGGGACCCCTGGCCACGCTGGGGTCGGGCGTCAGTGGTGAAACCGAGCAGCAGCCACTCCAGGCCGTTCTTTGCACACCGACGCGCTTCTGGTGAAACCCCAAATGTCTTCTGGGGGTTTGCAACTCAGTCCCGATTTAAATAGGGGCTAGTCCTACCAGTGAAGGAAACTTACCCAGAGATCTCTCAGCATAGTTTAAACTCTCAAACGTCTTCTCTAACCCTGCAGCCATTTCAGAGGGAACCCAAGGTCACAGGAGCCCTGAGCATCTGAGTCGGGGGTCCTCCTGCGGGACCTGCCCGTGCCTCCTCATAGCTCAGGGCTCAGTCTTCCCTCGCCTGCAGCAGAGGGAAGGAGAAAGCACACACACGTGCACACGCAGGGCTCCAGAATGGGAGTGGTGAGTACGGGAGAGCTTAGAAAAATCAGTAGAAACCCAGAAACATGACGGGTGAGGTGCACGGCCACGAGGCCTCAGCTAAGTGACGGCTCAGTGAAGAGTCCAGCCCCGTGCTCCACTGAAAAGGTCTGGCTGTGTCCTGACCCCACCGGTACAGGCAGCTGCGCTTAGAAGAACCCTCCGTCCCCTTCTTTCACCGGAGAACCAGGCAGAGATAAGAGCCCACATCAGGGCCTTCTTTTATCCATCATGCCCGTCCTGCCAAGGCAGGCGGCACTGACCAAGCCAAAGGGGACAAACTGCTTCCTCCTCTCACCCACAAAACAGGCACCTCCACCCCTTATGAGGCAGAAGACCCTCATTCCCCCAAGGACGGCTCTGGGACCCCATCCCAGCCTCCCTCCCACCCTCCCCTGGTAGGCTGACCTGCTCTCCCGGGGACAGACTCCATGCCCTGGCCGTCCTTGTGGTGGAGAAGCGATGGCTGACCCGAGACTGAACGGGAGGCAGATGAGCAGGTCTGGCAGGTCCGTCCTTCCCGGCCCTGCCCACAGAGCCCCCGCCTTACACTGGGTCTCCGCGTATCCCTCAAGAGCCAATCCGTTCTCGCGGCATGGAGGACACGTGCAGAAGTCTGTTTTGCTTTTGTGAGAACCCTGGGAAACCTCGGGTGGTGGTGACCCAGAGGATGATGGAGAATCTTGGGGTGCAGGGAATCTTCTCTCCTCCGGGAGCTGTCAG